AAAATAAACTGTTGACACAGAGATATGTCTAGCCTGTCGGCATAAAATTCAGAAAAAGACAATCTGATGGACAGCAACATTGCTAATTAATTCAAAGTCGCTGGACCAACTAGTGGGCAGGGCCTCAAAATGATTGACAAACTGAAATGTACAGACAGAAATGTAACTTTATAGAAAATATTGTTGTCTATTGAAAGTAGTTCCTATCAAACTAACTTAAGTAGAAAACTTAACATTGAAATTGTTTATTAAATCAAATTCACTGGACCATGGCCTAGGGGGCAGGGCCTCAAAATAGTTATCTAAATGATATGTACTGATAACAATGCAACTTCATACAAAATATCATTGATCTATCACAAGTACTTCCTATCAATCTAACATTGACGCAGTCGCTGGAAAAGCAATCCCTATGTCTCGCTTTCTGCAACTTTCGTCAAAGGCTAGACAACAAATCCTTCAACCATATACACATATATATAAATGCTGATAAGTTGTCTATTGCAGCGGGAAATATCTCATTACAGTACACATCAGCAAACAGTACATGAAGCAAAAAAAGTATTTATTATATTCTACAATAGACAGTTGATAATGTGTCTGAAAAAAAGATGCCCGACTTTTGTTGGTTTATTAAGCCATCATTATAAAATTTATCCTTTCTATGACAACAAAGTAACAGAAGCACATTTACATGTATGCATTTAAAATCTCCATTACAAAATTTCTAGAGTAATTAATATAAAGCACTTTTAAGTGTGTTCCGTCACTTGGGAAAGAAATTTCATAATGCGATTTCTTCAAGTGCTCCTGTCAGTGAAATGGTTGAACAATAGGTAGAACATCATTTAAAACCTAAATAAGTTGTTTGGTTGGTACAATCTGATGAAAATATGTGTTTTATGAAGTTTCTACAACAATGTAGTTTTTCAAATTTCTAAGGGATCATAGATTTATTCTTACGAGGAAGCTCTGAGCATGCTCGGAGGATGCTCGGAGCTTTTTAAGTAGGCTCTTCTCAGCAGTTAATGTGACAATAATTATCATGATCCATTAAAATGTCAATCAAATCTATAGCACTTTTATGATAAGGAAAGTAGAGCATTATGGAGGAAGCTCCATTAACACCTGTGTAAACATCTGGTCTATTCAAATACATTTTGCATGAGATTTTACAAAACTATAAAATAGATTAGAAATTCTTCAACAGTGCTGTGTAATGCTTGGAAAGAAATCTCAAGTCTCCACAAAAAGTAAAAGTCATTTAAATATTTTCTTATTATATTTAATATCATTTCTTTTTTTATAATAAAAAAATTATCAAATTTTATAGTTAGATGATATGATTTAAAAATAGTTTATATTATATAATATGCTACATTAAAGTTATCAAGACACAAACAACAGTCAGGGGGCGATACTAAACAAGTAATTTTTTTTAAAATTGGTATAAGTATTTTTTGTTTTTAAAAATTATTTTATAACTCAATAGTTATTTTAATTGTCAAATAAAGCATGGACTAAATGTAGTTTTTAAGAATTTTTATATCATTTCATTAAATAAAATTAAGTATTTATCCAATTTGAGATGAGTATAGAGAGGTTACTTTAAAAAATAATGACAAAAATATTACTTTAATAAATTATTTTATACAACTTCAAAAAACTTAGTACTTACAATTATTTAAGGAATATATGTAATTGCTTTTGATTAAGATTCAAATTATAAATAACTTCAGGTGTTAATTAAAGGTTCCATATCTAGTTATAACTGTCTATCTCTAAGATTTTAAGGGGAAATGATATTTTAATAGCCCCAAGAGACCAATCTTTGACCAAGAAGTGTGGCATCAGAAAAGCAATTAGTGCTTGTTGAGGATTTAAATAGCTTTACCAGTATATTTCATGGGGAAAATAACCAGATGTCTGTGAAAATTTGTTAAAGCTAGTAAAACCTGTATGAATGGTCACCTATAAAAATAATATTAACAGAAGTTACTTATTCATGATATAGAAGTAATATTGGAAACAGCCTCGTTTTCAACATAACTTGTATAGGTAATTTTGAAAATGACTTGTTTAAAAAATGCCCCTAACTAAACAATGGTAATATGTTTTTTTAAATAGCAAACCAAGTTCTTTCATAGAAAATTATGGCTACTTTAAGAAAAGTTTTAATTCATTAGTGGAAGCCTGGTTTGAGGGGGTAATACCACCATTGTTTTCCCTCTAGTACGTCTCCCTTTACTTGGCATTTTTTTTTAATTGTGCAGATTTAGCTTTGTTTTAAATGAAGAAATACTTGGCATGAGTAAAATTATTTTCCCCCTATAAGTCTTTGTTTAATTGTCATGATTGTTATATTTCAAAAAAAAATGTGCAGAATTTATCTATGTTTTAAATAAAGAAATACTTGACATAAATAAAGTTTTATCCTGTCCTGTACTACAGTGAAAATATAGCATAACTTTTCAGTGCATATAAGAAAGTAAACATCACCAGAAGTTAACCAATCAAATTCTCTCCCCCTTTTTTCCCTGTAGAATATAGTATATTTTTATTGCTTTGAAACACCCAAGATACATGTTTACGACTCAAAAAAACTTTTCTGCAATGAAATGGAGGGTTAATTTCAAACAACTGTCAAATTAAATAGAATATAAAAAAAGATCAACCCTTTTTCACATGAAAATGAATGTACTATGTTTTGGTAGTATAGTTATAAATCAATAACCATAAGTTTGTGTCTTTGATGACTTTTATATTTCATTTTATACAGTATAAATTTAAAATATATTTATATTTCAAATATAAAATTTGAGTGTTTTTTTGTATCATGTGTATTGAAAAAGAATGATAATTATTAAGAAAATGTTTTAAAATCATTTTTTTCTGTGAAGACTTGATACCAAGCATTGTACAGTAATATTGAAGAATTTCTCATCTGTTTTATGGTTTTGTTAAATTAATGCAAGATTTGTTTGAATAGACCAGATGTTTACACAGGTGTTAATGGAGCTTCCTCTATAATGCTCTACTTTCCTTATTATAAAAGTGCTATAGATTTGATTGACATCTTAATGGATCATGATAATTATTGTCCCATAAACTGCTGAGAAGAGCCTACTTAAAAAGCTCCGAGCATCCTCAGAGCATGCTCGGAGCTTCCTCGTAAGAATAAATCTATGATCCCTAAATGTCTCATTTTACTTAATATTATTTTTTGGAGAAAAGATTGATTGATTGATTTATTGGTGTTTAATGCCATTTTCGTGTCGGTCAGTTTTTATTAATGGAGGAAGCTGGAGTCCCCGGAGAGAATAACCGACCTTCGGTAGGAAAACTGACAGTCCTAGTCAATTGAGATTGGAGTCGGAGCACACCTGCCCGTGCGGGATTCGAACTCACAACCTCAGTGTTGACAGGCTAGTGATACAGTATTTCGACTACTTAGACCACTCAGCCACTGAGGCCCATGGAGAAAAGAGAAACTAAACTTAAAGTAAATTTATTCTTTAATTAAGCACATAATAGTCAACAACAACAACAAAAAAGCCAACATAAAGAACCAACAAATGTCATCTGTTTTGAGATTTGTTGATGATTAAGAGTTAATTCATCTTCGCGACACTGAGAAGATGATACAAAATATTTATTTATTAATGGAACAAAGCAAATAGCTGAAGAGCTTAGAAGAAATTTAAAAGATAGTAACATGACTGGACAAATAATATCACTTCTTATTAAGATGCTGACTGGCAAATGAAATCATTGACTGTAATGATGATGACGTCTGCTGTAAGTATTATCCATAACTGCCGACTGCTGTTTACAAAATATCAGGTCATGGCATGGCAACAATGGATAAAATTAAGACTCAAGGCAAAATTTCCATTAATTTATGACGTTAGAAAAAATAACATTATCTTTTTATAAGTAATGTTTTAATAAAAGAATAAACATGACAAACTAATACAAAAATGTGTTCGGGTTCCGTTGAACCCTGTGCCTTGTCTGCAATTTCAGCTGTCAGTGTTAAAGTGAAATATTGACTACCAAAATCTAAATCCATTTATCAGTAAAATATGGATAACATTTTTTAGATTAAGCTTCTGTCCAAGTTTCATAAGATTCCATGAAGCTTTGATAATCTATGAACAATCTAAATCTAATATAAAATTAATAAAATGAAATTAATTTTAGGACTTAATATTTTAAACAATATATATCAATTTTAGAAATGTTGATAAAGAAAATCACTTTCTCGCTATGATTTTTTGAGAAGAGTGAGCATTAATGAATTTTCTGCAACTCTTTCTCAGAAGATAACTAACACTACCTTTGTGACACCAACACACTTAATATGTAATCATAGCTATGTGAATGAAGAGAGTGACTCCATACAAACAGAACTATAAAATCAATCTTTACTACACACACGTCACAGTGAGGTACTAGCCATCTCCATTAAAGAAGTTAGTGCCATAACTTATGGAAAAATTGACCGGTATTTAAATAATTTGCCCATAAATTAAATGATCATGGCCATATATAGAGGAGACTCCAAATCACATTACAATAAAGACAAATAACATAACAGCAACAATTCACTTTTTTGAGGCTGGGCTTGAAAGTTTATTTGAGGTCAAAGGTTTAAATTGACCAATGACAAAGATCATTCCTATACGAGATGATTTTATAAAGTTTATTTGAGGTCGAAGGTTTAAATTGACCAATGACAAAGATCATTCCTTTAAGAGATGATCTTATAAAGTTTATTTGACTGATTACCTCTCAGAACATTTCACGAAGTTGGGCAGCAGTTGAGTGTAAATTCAAAATTAATTGCAGTATTTTTATGTATGTTCAATCTGGAACTGACAATTAATGAAGAAAGATGCCTCAACTTAAGTCCTGTTTAGACACTAACATGGCAAGTTCTCATTTCATCATGAAAATGTTGTTTTCTTGGGTTTTTTTTCATGTTAAACTTCACTTACATGTATTTTCTTGTGGCGGTGAGGTGGTCAGTGGTCCTACATAATTTGATGGAAACATTCCTTCTTGTCCGTTCACTTCCCCTTTCCACCAGTTTGGGTCGTCTTTATTTAAAACATTTATAACAGAGTCTTTGTGGAATGTTAATTCGTCCTCATGTTGTGCATTATATGGGTAAACAGCTAACACTTGCTCAACTGGAAATAAGATATTACAACATAAATTTATAAGAAATATAGTCCGTCCAATTTTTCAGTCCTTTTTTTCAACTGGAGTCCATTTGAATTTTAGAATTCTTCAATCTTGGCCACATAGTAAAAGTCCATATATGGTTTGACATCAATTATTTCCCCATAAAAGTTATGTTTGGTAACTTGGTAATTTTATATCATCAATGTGTCCATGTTTGTCAATGTTTGTAAATTTCTTTCTTTTACTATGATCATTTTCTTATAATTGGTAAACGTTTTAACGTCGTTTAGCGTGGTAATTACGTAACAGTATATTATCGTCGCTAAGTAGCAACAATATTGTGATCTTATGTAGTTTAAAGATTTTGTTATGTGAAGACGTTCTTCTTTATATCATTGTGTCCATGTTTTTCATGTTTGTCATATCTGTCATGTATGTTATGTTCAGATTTAGAGATTGCCCTCATAAGTAACATAAATGTACTTCTATTAGTACTTACTAAATGATGGTTGTGGTTGTGGTGTAACTGCTGGAGATATACTTGGCTGAAATAAAATAAAAAGAAAAAGTTAATTTTTCTAAATACCAATTGTAATCAAAATTTTATTGCAGAGACTAAAATTTATTAGCTGTTATTGTAAGTTCCAAGTGGGAAAACTACCACTTGCCAAATTGCCAAAATAAGTGCCTATTTTTCAGAGACATGTATTAAAATATAAAAGAAGAATGTGTCTGAGGACATGAATGCCCCTGTTCAAGCTTTGCAACAAAAATGGGATGGACGGACGGAAAGATGGAAGGACAGAAAGACAGACGGTCATGGGTAACAATTAATGCCCCCCATACCTACGGCGGGGGCATAAAAAAGATTTGTTGACCCAACAAGATGTACTGTGAGCTATGCTCACTAATTATACCCTCGCTAAATGTTGGTGACTAAATTTCATACATGTACATGAAAATGTAATGATATAAGTTGGTCAGCAAGCAGGAAGTAAAATATTGAGGTTACTGAAAATATGTCACATTGTATGGTATAACGAGATGAAGCTATCACTTGTAGTTATTTAAATAAATGGGGAATATGTATGATGCCCCTGCTTGCATATCATATAAAGTTATAAAGGGACATAACTTGCATATCATATAAAGTTATAAAGGGACATAACTTGCATATCATATAAAGTTATAAAGGGACATAACTGAAGAACAGTAAAAGTCACGCTACCAAAATTTATACTTGATCTGAGTTTTGTGGTAATAAGTAGTGTGTATAAGTTTCATAACATTTGGTTGAGGCAAACTTAAGTTAGAGAAAACTTCAGCAATTTTTCCATTTGCAAAAGGGGCATAACTCTAGAACAGTAAAAGTGACACCGCCAAAATTCAAACTTGATCTGTATTTTGTGGTAATAAGCATTGTGTATAAGTTTCATAACATTTGGTTTAGGCTAACTTAAGTTAGAGAAAGGAAATGAAAAATTCAGCAATTTTTCAATTTGTAAACGGGCGTAACTCTAGAACAGTTAAAGTGACACCACCAAAATTCAAACTTGATCTGTATTTTGTGGTATAAGCATAAGTTTCATAACATTTGGTTAAGGCAAACTAAAGTTAGAGAACGGAAACCAACTTTAAAATGTACGGGTGTACAGACGAACAAGGGTAAAACTTAATGCGCCCTCCGCTACGGCGGGGGCTTAAAAATTTATTATAAATTTATTACAGAAAGATGGATAGGGGTAAAGATCCCCTCCATTGTGTAAGCTTTTCTTTTAAATTGTATAAAGGGATGCAAGTCATACAGATACTTTCCTCCATAAAGAAGAAAAGATGCTGCTTTCAAACTTCAAAGCCAAACAGAATGACAAAATCACATAACTGCTCACCAGAAAAACTGCTTTATTTCACATAAAAAAATATTTGTCATGGCCCATCTACTACCAATCCTTCTCCTCTCCTTTACAAATGTACAAAAAGGCCGTCTTAAACTTGCAGTGAGGTGAGGTTTTTTGCTCTGTGTTGAAGGCCTCACTGTGACTTTGAGATGAACAACAGCAATAAAAGTGCTTTTCTTTGCTTTTTGTGTTTTTTGCAGTACACATACTGATTTTGTGTCATGAATTGATACCCCATATCCTTTATTTTCTATGAGTACAAAGATCCGGACAAAGTATATCATTATTTTTATAACACTATATCAATGCCAATACATACAACTGTAGCAGCTGGGGTAGGTGTCAGACGCTGGTCTTGTTCTGGTTTTTGACCTTGTAGAGTATTATCAGGTGTTGAGCGAGATCCTCCTGAGGCTCCCAAAAGTTTGACGTAATTTGCAGGAAACCATCCAATTTTTTTCTTTTGTCCTCTAGCCTGAAAATAATGAATGCATAAAGTGAACAACATTTCTAGTGTTCTCAAACCCTATCACTTACTATACCATGAGCAAGTAATTACAAAGGGAGGTAAGTCATAACTGTAATTCTCCTTTACACCAAGCATTTGGATTTTCCTGTCATTTTTTTTTTAAACAAACTTGACTTTGAAAATAAATATTAAAGGGAAACAAGTCCACCCAATTATTCCCCTTTCATCCATTTACTTTGACTCCTCGAATCTCTTCTTTACTTTATTTACTGAGGACTACCTTCTAATAAAGAAGGGAAGTAAGGCCTACCTGTAATTCTCCTTCCCACCATCCACTGGGACTTTTCTTCCGTACTTGTATCACCTGACCTGGTTGTAAAGACAATTGTTCAGGACCTGTGGCACTGTACGCTGCTATCACTGATGCTATCTCTAAGACATATGAATAATATAAATGTCAATTACATCAATGATACACCAAAAATGTGATGTAAATAAAGCAACCAAACAACAACAAAAGAACCCCCTGAGGGACCCCTCCCCCAAAATCTTTGACATAAAAGTCAGTATGCCATCTTCACCAATAAATAAATGGAGAATGTGTCATGGGACACAGATGATGACCCCGCTTGCATATAACATTATAAAGGGCATAACTCAAGAACGATAAAAGTGATGCCACCCAAATTTGAACTTGACCTGTGTTTTGTGGTAATATGCATTGTGTATAAGTTTCATAACATTTGGTTAATACAAACTAAAGTTAGAGAATGGAAACCAATTTCAGGACGTACATACGAACAAGGGTAACACTTAATGCCCCCTCCGCTGACGGCGGGGGAATAAAAACGGTTTCAAACCTATATCATATTGAATAGCCCAGAGTCAGACATGCTGTGTATAATAATAAAATACAACCTTAATTAGTTAGTTAAGACATTTCTTAATAATAGTTCACATAATATTTTGGCCTAACCAACGTCAAAGGATAAGGTGCAAAAATGGTTTGAACAAATTTTTCACTGAAATGAACCTTTAATTCAAGATTTCCATTTTTGTCTATTCAAAAGATAAGGACAAAATCAAAAACAGGTTTTAACTATCCATGACGTCATAATAAATAGGGTTGTCATCATGTCATGTCATGGAAAACGCCCTTCTATTGGTTTTTGAAGTTAATAGAAATAAGAAGATGTGGTATGAGTGCCAATGAGACAACTCTCCATCTGAGTCGCAATGTAATGCATACATTTTAGTCACTTTTATACAATTATACAGCACATGCAAGTACCTAATTTACAGTTTACAAAAGAGGTTTGTCTATATTAACATGACATCTCATGTACTTACAAGAGATCAATATTTCCTAATATGTGTCATACAATGACCTATAGTTACACCCATGTCATTGGGTCTATGGTTTGTAGTTGTCTCATTAGCAATCATACCACATCTCTTTTTTTTTAAATAAAAAATACACTTTTTGTCTTTTTTTGTAGAAAAATCAAATTCATGCTATCTTTGCACTGCAAAATATTGTGAATGTTCATATCATTTGAAATTCCTTACCGTTTTCGACTTTGCACATAAATTTCAATTATCTTTACACAATAATCCCTTAATTTTTTACTAATTCAATTTATAGGTTTAATATGGTCCTTAACGCTCCTCTTTTTAACATATTCCCTGGTTTCAGGTATATGTTCATTATTTTTAATAACACGAGACAAAATATCTACAGTATTAAACTTAAAGTACAAATTTTGATTGATTCTGAAAAATTCAGACATCTTTTTTCCCCAAAACATCTTTTTCAAATTCTTGTATCTAAAAAACAAACTCACAAACCTTATATTCTACTGAATTTGAGATCTATGAAACATTCTTTACTAAAAAAGACTTAATTTACTAAAAGTGCTTTTTATTATTTTTATCTTAAAGCATACATCCTTTTGATACAATTTCTCAAGATTTCCTGTGATGAGTTTTACCGGAAACATAGACAATTTACATCCTTTGTAAGTACTGACCTGGTTTTTTAGGTGCTCCTGTCTTCTGCTGTGATGCCTGTTGTGACTTCTGAAATAAACAGATTAAAAATCAAATTTCCTTAACTATTGTATATGTGCATACTTTAAGTTTCACAAGTAACGACTTCCTTTCACAAATAATTATCTGATTTATGGCGATTTATTGTACTAATTGAATGATAAATTTCCTTTACAAACAAGAACTACAAAGAAAGGCATTTAAAATTTTGTAATTGACTTCATAATCAGTTGAAAAAAAAAATTACATCATAAAACATCTAGACATTTTGCAGTTTGCATAGAATAAGGTTAAGAGCTTTAGAAAAGGGAGGCTATGTATGGTAATATGTTTGTTATTTTGAAAAATAAAATAATCATGATAAAAGAATTGGTCCTTCTGTTATTAGACCAATAGCCAAAATTCCCAAAGGGTCAAAGTTTAGTTTGTGGCCATAAATTGTTGACTTTCATAAAAATATAAATAAAAGAAGATGTTAGAGTATATATCACCAAAACAGCAATTATATAACCAAATATTCTCAAGTAAATTTTTACAAACTTTCTCTTATGTTTAACTGATATGCATTTTATCTTTTATCAAAATTAAAAATTCATTTCTAAAATACAATCAATTACAAATAACGTACATAAAATCAATAAATACCTGACATCTCAAAAATCAAAACACAAAATAAAATTATAAATTGATAATTGATTTTGATTTGTATGGTAAAAAATTTCTAAAAATTTATATAACTAGCATTCAGAAGTTAAGTGTAATATATAATTTTTTGGAAGGATATGGATTAACATTAATAAAATAATAGTCAACATTCTCAACAATATACAGTTATTTCCCATGCCTGAGGGAGATATGAAGATTTGTTCACCCAAGATAAAACATATTTCACAAGGGCAAGGGCAATGGAGATATGATGATTTGTTCACCCAAGAAAAATCATATTTCACAAGGGCAATGCCCGAGGGTAATATGACTTTTCAAGGGTGAACAAATCTTCATATCTCCCTAGGCCAAGGGAAATAATTGTTTTATTCCACTACCTAAACCTATTTTACTTCCTGAACATAAAATATTAAATTACATATTTCTATTTTTATCCGCTTCTTTTTATAACTAAACACGACATTAACAATGGTAATCAATACTGATCAAAATTTAATCATTTATTCTTTTTGTTTAGTATTTAGATCTGAAATAATTCTAAAAACGAAATTACTATACTATCTCTAAACAAAAACCCATTCAAAACGTTATAAACATTAACCGTGCTTAACTTTGCACATGGAAGTCCCGACATTCAGAGGGGAATATGATACTTAGAGGGGAATACGAAGTTTTGTGAGACGTCACATAGGATAGTCTCAACCAATCAAATGTTGATTTCGCTATAAATAATCACATGCAGTGGAATAATATATTTTATCCAATGTAAACATATCTTAAACATTACTACAGAATTTACTCCACCAAAGGGTCACCCCAGTAACAAGTAGATCATTTTTGCAGCAGAAAGTAAAAATAAGGGCTATCTTCATTCCATTTAATTTTCTATGAGATTTTTCCAGTCAATCAAGTAAAGGGAACATAGCTGGAATATTCTTCATTTCTTTTTTTTTTATTCTTGCCTTCCTAAATAGCGCACATTTCTCGAAAAGTGGTGGTCCAAGATTTTGACCAGTAAATTTTGCAAAGGACAGATACAATTTTGGTATTTTGCAATTGAAATAATAGTGACGACCAGCATATTTTCTTCAAGGACCACCAAGGAAAAACAGATTTTGAAATATGAAAGGGATAATGGTTTTTCTGTGTTTTACTAGTAAATGGAATGGAAAAGTCACAAAATTGTAGTTCTTCAAGTAATAACTAATCTAGATCTGTACTATAATTCAAATTCAATCCAAATTTTGTTTGACCAAGATAGTATATTTGCAATATTTACAACTGATGATAAAGTAGAAACAAATTTCAAGTGTCCTATAAACTGTTCAAACATAATTTAATTTAATACACAACTGTAATCAAATTCACTCAAACTTGGAATGGTTAAATATCATACAAATTTGAGCTGGTTCAATATATTTCGTATAAAAAAACCCCAGGCTTTCTGACTATCGAATGTACTGGTGATTCAGGACTTTTTGTGGGTTTCTATTTTTCTTGAATTTCATAAGAAACTTTAAACTTTTAAGTTGCTATCATTCCAAATAACTTGGTCTCTAGTGGATAGTTGTCTCAATGGCAATCCTACCACATCTCCTTATTTTTCTTATTTAACTACAAATTTAAGTTTTAAAACAAAATGAAAGCTTTTTAATTGGACTTGTATGCATAATTTGTTAAAACCACAAATGCAAGTATCCATGAAAATACAGGTTTTCTATAGGCTTGTTGTATGCAGACTATGAAACCAAGTATTCACAACAATACATAGACTGGCAGTTTTCAGATCAAACAAATTGTATGGGTTGCTATGGGAAACCAAATCAATAGTTGCATTATATAATTAAAAAAAATGGGTGTAGACTGCAATTTGGTGCAAAATATTAATTTGAAAGATTCATTGTAATCCATTTGTCAGTTAAAGAGTAGTTTAGGTCACAAGGATGCTGTGCGTATGTGCTTCAAAAGAAGGGAATTGACAACAGTCTTGTAACTATGGTAACTATAGATATTTAAGACTACATATTTTGCATCATATTATTTTATAATCATTTAAGCAATAATGGTTATTGTGGTTTTTAAAGATAAGCAAGGAGGCATTGTAAATAGCTGGGTAATGACAATATGAAGCAAAAAATACAAAATGTAATTTGCTTCTCTATACAAATTTACTATTCAATGAAATCAAAACAATCAATTTATTTATTCAAAAATATTGTCAAAAACATAAATAATGAGCAAATCAACCCTGAAATAAACAATGTTTGGTTATTAATGGAAACTGCTTATATACCAAATATTTTTCATAGAAATACAATTAAACATGTAATTAAGTAATAAAACAAACAGTGCCTAAAAAGAATCATGTTGAGTGTTAGTTAACGCAAAAACAAAGGTTTAAAATTTCAGCATTGAAGATGGCCTAGTTTAATTGCATTTGAAAATCCATTCTCATAGTGAATGGGCAGTTGCTTACAACAGCTAGCATTGGATGTTAAGAGCAAGTTTTGCATGGTTGAAGAGTGCTTTTCTCTTTTGCTGGAAATAAAATTTGCAAAATTGATAATCATAAAGTAATTATTTTTTTTTACTTTATAAACTGAATGTAGACAAAATTTTGACAGCAACTCTAAAATACTACACAACCCTGCATGCTGGCCCCAGGCAATAGTCTAGCCATATCCCAACTGCATGCTCCCAGGTAGCTTAATTTTTACACTAAGGTCAAATGTGATGGATCGGGATAACCAATGGAATGCTTCTAAGATGATCAAGTGTGTAATTAGCATAATGAACTTTGACCTTCTGCCTGTGCTGCTGGGAGGTGCAGTGTAGGATATTAAAGAATTGTATACCTGGTCCAAGTCTGACACAAAAAAAGTTGACTGACTAAACTGTGTATTGGTCATATCTTCTTGTTCATTGAACTCAGGTTGTTCTTTTCCAGTCACTAAAACGTCTTCTAGAGTTGGAATTGAAAGACTGTTGGTTTTATCTTCTATATCCCAAACAGGGTTGGGAATCTCATCTTCATATCCAAGTTTTTTCCTCAATGGTGATCCAACCTCTTCGTACATGTTATCATCTTCTGCAGTCAGAACTTTCTCCTCATTAGAATGACCATCTCTGGATAGAACGTTAAATGCTTTGTTATCTGGGACTGAAACCGAATTTGGGTTTGTTGAAAGTGCATCATTTTTATTTTTATTTGCTGAAGCAGATCCAGAATTATTTTCATATTCAGTAGGCATACTATCATATAAACTTGGTTCAAAATCTACACCTAAACTATCCTCATTCCTCGTCTTTTCAATTTGCTCAAACTGAATCTGTTTTTGAAAATCAGTACTATCTAATCCTGGTGCAACAATATTACAACTCTCCTTGTCCTGAACAAGCTGTCCACCAGTTTTAGACTCATCCAATTTTGCATATTCTGAGGAACCAGTACCTCCAATTCCTAGAAAATCATCATAAGTCTGGTTTCCATCTGGTTCCGTGGGTTCTAATGACTGAAAAGGCATATCAGTTCTCTGTCCAACCTCAGTCAATATGGTTAAATCTGGTGACGTTTTACCATCAATGCCAAGAAAGTCATCGTAAGTCTGTGTCCCATCTGGTTCTATTGGACTGGATTCCTGTACAGTTTGGTTAATAGATTTTTTAACATCAACTGGAAGATCCAAATACAAGTTAGGTGCAGTAGAACTGTTTTGAGTCCCTACTGGTTCATAAAAATCTCCTAATTCTTCTTGCTCTTTTGACTTACTAGAAACTGGTTCCTCATAGAATACAGAATCACCAATATTTTCCATTGATTTAGAAAAATCTCCACCTCCTAATGGGTCACTCTTTTTTCTAAATGGCCAAAATGACTTCTTCACCCCTTTTGTTTTCGTGTCCTCTCCATATGATAAGTTTTCTACAGATTTTGCTCTTTCTTTCAGTTTTTTCTTTGTCCTTCTTTGGGGTACGGGTAAAGAATTATCCTCAGAGTCTGGAATAGTATTTGGTTTTTTCTCTTTTTTATCGTCTGCCTTTTTAGTCTTTTTATCACCCCCCTTTTTGTCTTTATCACTTTTTGTTGGTTTTTCACTGCGATCTGGCAAAGCAGGTGGTACATCATCTGTAACTTCACTACTTGAGAAAGGAGGTAACTCTTGCACATTGACAGGTGAATTATCTCCCTTTGTTAGCATTTCCTGACTAATTTTTCTTTGCCTTTTTTTAGGTCTCTGTGGAGGAAGGGGAGGAGCCTTTTCATCACTAGCTGATTTTTCAATTTCAGAAATGTCAAGTTTTGGTGCCTCAACTTGAAATCTGACCTTTTTCTTTGAAGGAGCTGGGGGTCTGGGAGGGGCAACATCCTTTGTCTGATCAACTGACACAACTTCTTTTTTATTTTTGTTGTCTAATTCTTTCCTTGCTGCAATAATATCAGAAATATCTTCATACATATCTCCAAGTGTGTCTTTTGGTGGAGTTTTAGGTATAACTTCTTCGTATAATCCAGGATCAAAAGTATCAAACATGTCTGTACTCTGTGCAACTGATGCAGTGTTTATATTATCTATCAGGGAAGTTGATGATGATACTATTTTCTCATTGTCGTCACAATCAAGTACTATGTTAGCATTTTCTTGTCCTTTGTCAAAACTTAATTGTGCACTGTCCATCCCTGTATCTTTTGTAGCAACCACTGGCCAAGTTGTAGTATTCCGGTATGCTTTATTATTATTCACTTCACTTTCTGTAATACTTCCAATTTCAAAATTAGCATCAAATTGCCCAAAAACATCACCAGTGATTTGACTATCTCCCCTAGTTGCGGTCCCTGTACTTCCTTCGGAGCTAGGAATGGTTGGAAAGAATGGCTTGACACTGATATTTTCTCCTTGGGTTTGGTCACTCAAAGTGGTAGTGTCATCATTTGGACCACCAAGTCCCAATCCAGACATTGGCTGAATAGGAGGAGAAAAGCTGTTGCCAGTGGGGCTTAGCTCTACTGCAAGCAAGGTTTCATTTGAAGGAATCTTTGACTCTCCTAAAGAAGCAGTTGGACTGTCGGGACTCTCCAATATATCAGAATTAAGAGATGATTCACTTTCTTTACGTTTCTTTTTTGTTTTTTTCTCACCTGACCTTTGGAAGAATTTAAAAATAGACTTCTTTTGTTTTGTTTTGATATTCTCAGCTTGCAGTGTTGTAGGTGGTGTCTGACTAACTGATGACACTACATCAGAATCAACACTTTCATGTGCAATTGTTGATCCTGAAACATTGAAATCAACACTTTCTAAGGCTGAAGGAACATGTTCAAAGATTGCAAATAAATCAACATTTTCATTCTGACCTGACGAATTATCAAAATTGGCAAATGAAGTACTGAAATCAATATGTTCATCCTGTCCTGATAATCCACTGGAGCTCGCAAAGGGATCTAGATTGAATCCACTGGAGAAACCTTCTAAATGTGTCTCAGTTGAGTTGGTATTTAAAACTCCTGATACTGATTCATTAGCAGTTTCAGTTGACAAGGAAGTAGTACCAGTCTCAAATGCACTGGTACTGACAACTGATGCAGTGGTACCAGTTTGTGAAGCTGTTTTCGAACTTAAACTGCTGGCACTCATCACAGAGCTTTGATCAACATTAGAATATAACTTGCTCTGTGCAAAACCACCTTGACTATCATCTAGTTTACTATGCATATCTGCTGCACCAAATCCATCAAAGGTCTCATTTCCAAAATCACTCAATGTGTTTTGCGTTCCATCTGGTTTACCAAACATGTCATTATTGAATGGATCTGAAGAAAATAAGTCTACACTAAACTGAGGAGTAGAAAAAGGATCCTCTATGAAAGTGTCATTTCCTGGACTAGATATTTGGTCTAATGGTCTAACATTTTCAGGACTACACATCTGGTCTATTTGAGTTTGAGTGGGACCAGCATTAGGTTTGTTAAAGTAAATCCCTTCTTTAGATAACTCTGTAACGGATATACGACTGGCCAGAAGTCTTTGAACACTGGGTAGTGATTCCTGTGAAACAGACAACATTCTTTCAATGTTTTGACCTTTCTTTTTGAACCTAGGTCATATGTTACTAACTCATAAGCCCTTATAATTAATTCACATCAATCTGACTTTCAGTTTTGGGGATTTAAGCAGGGTGACTTTCAAATTTTTGAGCAAATTGGGATTAATTTGCTGTTACATGAAAGTAGATCTTTTCATTGGATCTTTAGATTTTCATAAAACTGATGCAGTAAAATGTAAGAATTGAAAAAAAAAAACAATCTGTGCGGCCAAATATAATTTTTTTTAAAAGCAATATTTGTAAGATAAGTAGGGTTTGTCTTTCTTTTTGGTAGGTATTTGAATATAGATATAAAAGGATATTGAGTTTTATTTATTTTTGACCAACAATAGATGAAAACATCATTTGTATATCTATATATTTCATAAATGACCAAAACTTGAACTGAAACTTTAATACTATTTGAGTTAAAGATGACACAAACTTAGGTACCCTTTATGGCATTCATTGACAAAAATGACTAAAAGTTCCACACTGGGGAAACCTGAGGAAACATACGGGGTCAAAAACTCAATTCTATCCAAAATAAATAAGAAGATGCTTGTCTTTGTTCTGTGGGCAATTGTATATAACTATTCTGTGTCTATAAGACACATATTATTCCCCAAGATATTATACAAACAAGTAAAACTTTGAGCTACATCTTACTAATGATACACCTGCCCCACTTTAAGGATATCGGTAAACAGGAAGTTATTGAGCTATGAATCTAAAAAACGCATCACACAATAAAGTATGTTCACATTAAGCCTGATAACCATGCAAATTTCAGGAACCTCTTACTTGTAGGTCCCTAGAAAAATGTGAAGAAAAATTTCATACATGACAATTATGTGTTAGAATATATGAGTATTGAGTACATAGGAAGATAAGGATCCATGATATCTGACAATGTATTACACAGTAAAGCATATTGACATAAACTGATAACAAATTTCAGGAAGGTCTAATTTGTAGTTCCCTAGAAAAATGTGACAGAATTTCATGGAATGGAAGGACAGAAATATATTCAGACAGACAGACAGACAGACAGACAGACGTACAGACAAACAGAGGTAAAACAGTATATCCCTTCTCCTTCAGAGCAGGGGTACAATTATACGATGATATAGCATGTATTCATTCTCCTTTTGTGTAGTGTTAGAAATTGCAATATATGTATACATTGATATAAAGAAATTCCAGGAATATACTTTGTCAAAATTCCATTCTTGTTTTCATTTATATGCTGGGTGCCAAAAAAAAAATGGCCAAGTTCAACAACTTTAAATGTTATTTTTATGTACAACTATTCTACAAAATAATTAGGTTCTACCTCATATTTGGAGTTTAGCAGACAAATGCTGTTGGATATTTCAACTAAAAAAATTACAATAAAGTTTAACAACTGAAAAAAAATTTTAAAAATATAACAAAATCAATTTCTGCCAACATTGATATATCTATTTCATATCTAACACTGTTCTGAACAGATCAAATGACAAATATATATCTTATTCATCCGATAAGGTCATTTCCTCAGATAAGTGTTAAACAAACAACATTAAAGGAGGAACCAAACTATTAGTCAGCATTGAAAAAACAATAAGATGCAGTTCATCAATTACCTACCAAGGGAATATCCATTTCTTTGCATAATTATATGGGAAAATCACTGTCATGTCCCCTTCTGACCCTGTCGTCCATTTAAAATATCACCTACCTGAAGAATATCCATTTTTTTGACATCATATTATATGGGGAAATCCCTGTCCTGTCCCCCATTGATCCTACCTGAGGAATATCCATCTTTTTGACATAATTATGTGGGAAAATTCCTGTCCTCTCCCCCATTGATCCTGTCCACCAATCGCCATCCATCTTGGTTACCATAACAACATCATTTTGATTGAAGTTCAGGTCACCTGGTTCTGATGATTGATAGCTATAAACTGCTACATAACATTCTGAAAAGAAACAATAGTTCTGATTACTTGGAATAATTATTATCTATGGGTTTTATTTTTCAAATTTTTCTCCCCCCTGGTTCTAATCTTCTTTAGATATGCAACAGAGTATTTTTGCCATTAACTGTCAATCCTAAAAGTAGTGAACATAAACCACTCGTCCCACTTTACAGCATGCAGCCTTGAAGAACACACCATATAACAAAGGATCAAGTTGCAATATCAGTTTTAGAGTCAAATTATTAAACAATTCACATAGTTTTCTTTTAAATCTTTAGGACTATACCAGAATTAATTGTATGGGCGGTTGGAATGCACCTAATATTAATTATAAGGGGGTAGGAGGTTCAAAACGAGTTTTCACACAATGACCAATTTTTTAATTTCTTATTTAAATTTTAAGGTGCGGACAAAAAGTACCTTCCTTACCCCAACCACCCTTACATTTGATTTTGGAATAGCCCTTAGTATATCACGTATAAAAATCTAAATCAAATGCACTAAGTTATGATCAATGTATTGAAATCAATGAATAAATTCTATTTAATGTACTTCACTATTTTTCTAATACTGTAAATTCAGAAATTATTGCGTGCATTTATTATTGCGAATTTTGTAGAATGGACTTAAATGAGAGATTAATTATTGCGATTTCAGGAAAATCTGCATACAGTTATATGTATCAGATATAAGAATGCGAGTTCTAATTATTGCGATACTCATTCAGTCCCATCATTCGCAATAATAAAAACCCTTGCAATAATTTCTGAATTTACAGTACATTCTAACAAAAATAATGTTACCTCCTTCCTGTTGTTCTAAGGTAGATGGAGTAGATCTAGCACTATCTATAGTATGAGTGGGCGTTGAGTGAGCACTGTCTATGTTGAGGTGACTTGCTGTGTTAATTGGAGACTGAGTTGTTATCTCCTCGGCAGCTGCCACCATTTGTTGTGGTGTTCCTCTGAACTGATCAGTTACACTGACTACAGGGGTTTCAGATCTAGAGCTTAAAACAATAAAAAAACAAATTTCAAATACCGAGTTTAGAACCAAAAAAATTACTTTAAAATCATCAAGTGAAGTCCAGACTGTTTAATCAATAGTACTAACATAATGTCTGACAGTCACTATTCATGAAAAATTCAGTACTAACTACAAATAAAAGTCAATTTTCTATGTAACCTTTTCACATTTGGTAAGTCCTTATTACCTATCTTTTTTTTTCACAGATATTTGTTCTGATAATGTGAATGTTATGAAAGTAAAATTGGCATAGATGTTTATATTACTATAGATAATAAATTAAAACAAATTGGTATATAGATTCAAAATTTCCTTTAAAATCATTTTCTTTTCCAAGCTTTAAAATCTGTATTTGTAAAACTTACTTTGATTATGATGTATTAGTAAAACTAACTTTGACTGTGATGTATTAGTAAAACTGACTTTGACTGTGATGTATTAGTTAAACTTACTTTGACTGTGATGTATTAGTTAAACTTACTTTGACTGTGGTGTATAAGTGAAACTTACTTTGACTGTGATGTATAAGTGAAACTTACTTTGACTGTGATGTTTAAGTGAAACTTACTTTGACTGTGATGTATAAGTGAAACTTACTTTGACTGTGATGTATTAGTAAAACTGACTTTGACTGTGATGTATTAGTTAAACTTACTTTGACTGTGATGTATTAGTTAAACTTACTTTGACTGTGGTGTATAAGTGAAACTTACTTTGACTGTGATGTATAAGTGAAACTTACTTTGACTGTGATGTTTAAGTGAAACTTACTTTGACTGTGATGTATAAGTGAAACTTACTTTGACTGTGATGTATAAGTGAAACTTACTTTGACAGTGATGTTTAAGTGAAACTTACTTTGACTGTGATGTATAAGTGAAACTTACTTTGACTGTGATGTATAAGTGAAACTTACTTTGACTGTGATGTATAAGTGAAACTTACTTTGACTGTGATGTATTAGTTAAACTTTCTTTGACTGTGATGTATTAGTTAAACTTTCTTTGACTGTGATGTTTTAGTAAAACTTACTTTGACTGTGATGTATTTGTAGCTATTCCTCCAATCAATTTAACATAAGACTTTGGGAACCAACCAATCTGAAATCAGATACATTATTATCAGTCCATGAAAATTGGTACCCATGAAAATTAATGAATCCACAGTAGTATAATAATTGGTGAAGATGACATAATCATAATAATTATTCTGAATTTTAATAAATATTTGTGAAGATTTTTAGAACACAAACTAACTATAAATATGTATATAGATATAGGAAGATGTGGTATGAGTGCCAATGAGACAACTCTCCATGTATGTATGTATGACTGTATCAAAAAAAAAAAAACCAAATTTGCTTTAAAATCAATTTATATTTTTAGCATTTCTGTATATTGTTTGTTGATTGCTCTTGCATTGAAAATTACAATTCATGTATGTCATGCAAATAAGCACTTTACAATACTCCAAGCAATAAACACTTCAAATTCGTAAAAAATTTCTCAAAGAAAAATGCTCTAATTTTCAAATTATCAACTTATTACAAAATACTTTTGTAATAAATTACCTGTCCATGAAGTTCACCAGACCACCACATATCCTGTTGTTCTTTTATCACAATGACATCACCTTTGTTGAAGGTCAAATGATTGTCTTTTTTAGCTTTCCATGGATACAGAGCTTGGGCCTGTAATCCATCAGGTGCTTTCTCTCCCTTAAATACATGTATAACAACTCATCATTTTTTTCTGCATTGAAGTTAAGGTCGTGTTTGATTTAAGCAATGTGTTTCTGACCTTGCAGACATTTACAAATGCCTGTACCAAGTCAGGAATATGACAGTTGATTTCCATTCGTTTGATGTGTTTGAGCTTTTGATTTTGCCTTTTGATAAAGGACTTTCCATTTTGAATTTTCCTTGGAGTTCAGTATTTTTGCTATTTTACTTTTTACATCCTAGAAGGATTTTTTTTTTTTTTTATTTCGAGGATTTATAAGTTAGTTATGTAGCTATTGAAAGGTATTCTCAGTATCGAGTAGAAGATCAACAATTTACAAAAGATTTCCATTGGTCAGAAGGACAGACTAACGGACAGACAGAAACAGAGACCAGAAAACATTATGCCCCTTTACTATCATAGGCAAAGCATAAAAAACAGACAAAAAATCAAAGGCTTTATCCTCTTTATATCATTTCAGCTAATGAACTTATGACTTACCTGTCCAGGTGTAGGGGAGGTAATTCTAACTTCTCGTACAGACTGGGGTGTTGAATATTCTTCCTCAGTATTTGCAGCACCACTAAAAATATTTTGAATTCTTTAAATATTTGAATTTGGTATAAAAATTCTAAATTTCATTCTTTAGAATATATATATATATATAGAGGCTATATTTCTTGAAACATAATAAAGAATCAGGAAATCTGCCATTACTTTTTCTTATTACCTTATTAATAAATTTGCCACTACCTAATAGGTTTACTTTTTCTCCTTACTTTAGGAAACAGTCTATTTTCGTAAATGAATATATGACTATGTGTTGATTAGAAGATTTCTAAATAAATCATGAACCTTTTTCTAATTGATTAACTAGTAAATGAATCTCTGACTTGATTTCTAAATTAGCTCAACTAATAACCAACCCTTTCTGTAGGTGAATAAATAGTAAATTGATCTTTGACTAGCTGACTAGAAGTTTTCTCAATAAGCTCTGTGAATCACCAACCTTTTTGCTAGTGATTACCAAAACAAATCTACGACTGACTGACTGACTAAAAGATTTCTAAATAAGCTTAGTAAATCATCAATCTTTTTCTTATGCTCACCTAAATGAATCTGTGACTGGTTGACTAGAATCCATGTGTTCAATGTAAGCCTCAGGAAACCATCCTGTTTTTCCATCTTTCTCTCCACCCAACCAGCCTGGTTCAGCTCCTGTCTGGTCTGCTAATAACTGGAATCAAAATGAACATGGTATTAAATAGGAAGAAATACTCTGATTGTATTGTAATTCCTAGGGTAACAGTTTTCTTTGATCCTTAGTTTTTGTACCGATATGTTGAGTGCTTTCCAATTATAATGGATGTGTTAGTGTAGGAAGCAATTTAAAAATTCCCCCACAACCAACATATAGTCTTTTTGTAATTTTGCAATAAACAATTGGACATAAAAAAGGCCAATGACTAATAAACCATGTCATAAAAAAACCTACTCTTTCTCACCTCCCACACACATTTTAATTGAATAGTTACTTACAATTGATGTTAATGTTGAAAACAAGTTATCTGTGAGGCCTGTGTTGAAAGAGGTTCCGATAAACCAAAGAAATATTTATTTCATAATTGTTAAAGTTAAAATAATATGTAGGAAAAAAACATAAAAAATCATACCAAGATAATATCACCAGGAATAAGGGTGAGTTCATCGTGATTCCTGGCATCAAACTGGTACAGGGCTTTGGCCTTTTTCCTTGGCTGAGTATCCTTGGCAGTGTCTACAAGTAATGATTGAAAAAGTCTGACTTCAATTATACTAAACGCTTAGGTTTTTATATCTTCAGTCATAGATGTCCCTTACCAGATTTAGCAAACTTTTTGTAATCATTTTCTGTAAATTTCCTGCTTGGAAAATTTTTTGAATTATTTGAAACACCGAGGTTTTACTACCACAGGCATAGATTGCCTTTGCCATATTTGGTACATCTGTTTGTACTTTTTTTGGTTTTTAATACTCTTAAACTTCATCATTGATATGGTTATCCAACTGTTTCAATTAGAGTGGTACTGATGACTCTTACATGTATGTAGGCAAAACCCCAGTCTGAAACCTTCATAAGAAGTCTTGTATCTTTGATTGTTTTTTATCCAAAGGAAAAGGAGCAATTCTAATTTCAAAGACATATTCTACATAACCATTTATATAAAAAAATAATATGCTGCGATGAGCTCAGCCTGATACGACTGCAGACGTCGAAACCTGATCAGTTGGGGGCATTTTTGAACACAATATTCAAGCTCGATACTGTCTGAATTTGGATTGTGATCAAATTTTGACATAATATAGGTTTCTGACACAAAATAAATGTGGTCAAAGATCTTAAAAAACTATTGCGCAATACTGTGCAAATGAAGATTTCTTGTTGAAACTTTTCAAAAATTTGAAATTTGAAAAATTTTGAAAAAAAAAAAATGAACCCCTTAAAAAAATTGGAAACCCACCCCCCCTTGGAGCAATTGCCCCTAAACTCAATCCCAGCCTTCCTTTTGTAGTATGGAACCTAGTGGTACAATGTCAGAGAGATCCATACACTTACACACAAGTTATTGTCCAGAAACTACAAAAATACCTTCCCTTTGTGGTATTGAACCTTCTTGTAAAATTTCATAGAGATCCATTCACTTAAACTAAAGTTATTATACGGAAACTAAATGTGTCTTCGGACGACGACGATGACGACATCATAGCATTATACAAACCAAAAAAAATGTTTGCGGTCGTATAAAAACTCTAAAGAAATTACATCTCCATTTTCTACCTTTTTCTAAACTGCCTGTCACCAGATTTCTTGTAGGGCAACAACAGTATGTGTGATCAAGGTAACATCTATAAAAACAAATATGGTCGGCAGCAGGGTTGGTTTTTTATTTCATACAGTAAAACCTGTCTATATGAAACCCCTTCAAGACTGGTAATTTATTTTCAGTATATACAGGTATTCAGAATTGTGTTATAGAATACAACCATATGGGACTTTTGCATTAAAAAATTTAGCTCAATCTTCTGTTCTGGGTTGGTCACAAAATGATAAAATGGACTGTTAACATACTGAACTTTCTGCCTTTTTCTTTGGTTCTTTTTCTCATTTCCATAATGTTGACTCGTGAGAAAATCTCCCTTTTTATCATGTGACCTAAGATAAGAGCAATTACCTGGTTTTTGACTAGAGAAGGCATTCCCCCATAAATCGTTTGACCCAGCACTAGATATACTGGCTTCACTAAATGCTGCTGACCATTTATCTCCTGACTGGGCAGTGGTTTGGTTATTGCAGAAATCAGCTGTCCAAGCACTATTTATTGGTGACTGGTTGGTGCCAGCAGGTTGGGCAGGCTTTTCTGGCTTGGAGGCAGCCTGGGCCAATTTGGCAATTCTTGTTGCTTCTAAATAATAAATAAAATATGGTAATAGATTATTCCTGAAAAAAATGTAGGGGAGGGGAAGGGCTGGAAGGTACCATTTTTAAAACCCAATACAAACTTTAAAAACATTTAAATTGTTCTACAGCTCAACACCTATAAAGTTTTATTGTATTAAGTACCTTCCAAGTTCCAATCATTTCCCCTAAACATTTTCTTTTTAATTGACATTAGTTAACAATATCTTATTGTAACGAAATATTGGAAAAGCCTTTTAACAAAACATCTGCCATGGATATTTTGTAATGGTTGTTGTACCTGTCTTTTTTCTTTTTTTTAGGACTTTTATTTTTCAGATTTTTGCATATGAATAAAATATCCAGCTAATCGTTTTCAGCTAATCGTGAAGTTCTGCTTTTGAAGATATTACACAGACTTCATAAAGAACTATTTCCCAAACAATTCCAACTAATGATTTTTTAAATCTTAATATTAAGTATAGACAACAGTTCATCACTAAGGTTCAAACTGTGACCTCAGGATATTCCTAATATTTTGGTGTTATAATTTTATTCCTATTTTTAAAGTGAACAATCTGAACTATGTTTATGAATTTATTAGCAGACCACATATCTTGTTCGTGAACATTATTAATACCTTCCTTCCTTTTCTGTTGTTCTTCTTCTTCCCTAATAACAAAAAATAAAATATCTCTATTATCATGAGTAAACTAGAAAATCTGAACATGCTAAAGGTAACTTACTTACGCTTAGTCTTTTTTCGATCGTAGAAGAGTAGGGAAAGGACATCCATTTCATATGGCTCTTGTTCTAAATGTAATGTTACAATGAATAAAGAAATGATGCATTTAATCCTCTTAACCTTTGCCATTTTTTAAAACTGTTCTTTGTGAAAGAAAAGAAAGCATATGGAATATAAATAATGCCAGGGCTGTTCCAGAAATAAATGTATTGGGCGATGGGAGAAACTTTTTATTTCAACCCACCAGGCATAACATTTTAAATTGATAATTTCTTATAACTGTTCAGGCTATCTTCATAAAATAACCACAACCCATCAAATTTTAATAGAAGTGCCTCCTATGCCCCGCACACAATTAATTCAGGAACAGCCCTACATAATCCCTGCTTGACAAAATCTTACTGCAAATTCAAAACAGCATCTAGCACCAGTTTAAGTGGAACTCTTTTATTTGACTTTGTAGCTATGTTTTATATCATATTTTTTCTGTCTCTAGCCTTTTGATTTTACCATTTTAACTTTTATTTTTATGTTTTTTATTATCCCTCGGTTCCTGTGTGTTCATTTAATTTCTCGTGTCTTGTTTCTTACCTCTTTTTCTGAATCTGTGTCTCAGCAAATATTTTATTACTCATATCTTGTCTCTGTCTATCAGCTTTAGATAGCTCTTTCTGTATATCTTCCAGCTTGATCTTCAGAACCTTAAGTAATAAACATTTTAATTAAAACATTTAAAATTTTCAACTGTAGATATTTTTTTTTTAAAACACTAAAAATAAGATTTTCATTTAACAAGCACCAAAATATATTCGGATTCTTAGCTTGATTTCGTATGATTGCACTAGTTTTAGGCTAGAACTTTATTTTATATTGACTTAAACATAATAATAAACTTTTAGATTTTTAACTTAATTAGAATTAAACATTTTATTGATGGAACAATGTAAACTAGAAATATTAGAAATATTAGAAATATTAAATGTAAATTTAAGACAACAAATATTATCTAGTAAATTGGTCTTCAGATGTTTAAATCTTGTTACTCCCAAACTGAAAAATAAACCGTTTAATAACAGAAGAACTGAACTATTATTACATTTCTGTGTTTAATGGTGATAACGTAATCAAAATTTATTTAGTCAGAAATGGAATTGACTTCAGGATTGATTGCCAATTGTTTTAACATCTAGTGACACATATATTAAATTTATATGTAATATAAATACATGATAACAAAATATTAGTTGACAAAGCCTAAAAAAAGGGGAACTAGGAGGAGATGTAAAAATTTGACTGCCAGTTGAAACAATTGTGTATCAAATGTGATCAAAAGGTGGCCCTACAAAGTCAAGAATTTTTCTGATTTTTAAACACAAATTTTAACTTAGAAGTGTGTATACATACTCTCCAAACCAATGACTTGATTTAAAATTCGTTTCTAAATATAAGTTTCTTAATGTACCTTTAATTCAGAATTTGTATTATCTATTTCCAGCAGTCTAGCCTCAGTATCTCTCTCTAATGTTTCTAATTCTTTCTTCAGTTTCTGTATTGTTGTTTTCTTCTGTTCTACACTGTGTAATACAGTTCTGTATGTTTCAGCTGAAATATGACAAGATAATAAGGCATCCAATGAGTGCCAGTCAGGGGTGTTACTTAAACAAGTTATTTTTTTTAGTTACTTATACAGGTAATTTTTTGTTTTTAAGAGTTATTAAATTACTCAATGGAGTTACATTAAATTTCAAAAGAAGCATGGACTAAATGTAGTTTTTATGAATTTTTACATCATTTTATTACATGAAATAAAGAATTTATCAAATTTGAGAGGATCATAGAGATTATGGGTTACTTTAAAAATAATGACAAAAATATTACTTGTATAAGTTATTTTATACATCTTACATAAGAATTAGTAATTTCAATTATTCAAGGAACATGTATTATTGTTTTGGGCTGCAAATTATAAATAACTTAGTCTTAATTAAATCACAAGTTTCCATTTAATTAGCTACCTGCAAAATGTTCAAGGGAAATGATATTTTAATAGTCCCAAGAGACCAATCTTTGATATGAAATGTAAGTGCGTCAGAAAAGTAATTAGTGTTTCAGGAGGATTAATTTCTATATTTTATGGGAAAAATAACCAGATGTCTGTGAAAATTTGTTTAAGCTAGTAAAATCTGTATAAATGAATACCTATAAAAATATTTTTTACAAAAGTTACTTATATAAGTAATTTTTAAAATAGCCTCGTTTTCAACATTACTTGTATAGGTAATTTTAAAAGTAACCTGTTTAAGTAATGCCCCTGACTGAGTATATAAGGTTATTCAAAGAAATTGTTCGTTTCTCAAGACAGACCCACATCATCCAAACTGCTGCAATTTCTTTCTTTCATTCACCAGAACAAATTTTTGGATTTTGATTCCCTTAAAAAGTTGCAAGACATTATACTTAATACCAAGCACCAGAGTAATTTCCCTTGAATAATATAAACTTAACAAGACATCATTGAGATGGGAGCCATCTCTGTGGCCCCCTTGTAAATAACAGGTTACTATTTGACTATTAAAGATGTTAGTGGTTGAATCTCTTAGAGCAGGTTACATGTGCTATTAAACAGTACACTAGATGCACTCTACCCTTAATTTTAGAAATATAATATAAAAGAAAAAAAAAACTTCTTGATATAGACACAGGTTATTTCGCATTACTTGTCAAGCCAGAATTATGCCATTAAAATTGTTGGAACTTTGTACTGTATCTGTGTTCACTAGATTAAATAGTTCTTGTGTTTACCTATAAAACAGTCCATTTTTAAAGTACAGTATATATTTTTATCATGTGGAAATCTATACGTCAGTAGTCCTAGGCTCGACAAAAATACATCAGATTGAATTATTTGATTGTTTTAAATTTGTTGTGTTACCAATCTTCCTATCTTGGTTTATTTTATCTTTCAGAGTGATAACACAATATGTCCTGGTGAAGTAATATCTCCACATATAATTACTCACAAGAGAACAGAACTAAGACAGTTTGGATTGATGGAAAAAGACATAAAGATGAATTCTGCAGCAAATTTTAAGGACTACAATGACAATAATCAGCATCAGTTTTCGTCTGGTAAAAAATTTGCATATGAAGCACTTTTTTAAGTTATTACATAGTCTTGTTATGTGCTTAGAGTGATTTTATTCTGTTTTTTATTTAAAGTGTTATATTTGGCCTAGGAAGTTGTACATACATTATGACACACCCTCTGGTGTTGGTTAATATACATGTCAAGTATAAACTTTGAAATTATAACTGTTCTCTAGATATAGAGCGGACACAATTTGTTACAGACGGAAGGACGGAGAGACTGATCACTATAGGGCGACCCGCCACTATAGCTAGGCGGGGCCTTAATTATTTTCATTACAAAGTCAAATCTATCAAAAAATGTGTCTACTCATTTTTCAACTAAGGATAAGAAACACAAATCCAGTGTTCAACATAAGTCTTCCTATTTTATGGATTATAAATGTGCAATTTCTGCATTTAAGACAAAATTTCTAGTTTAAGAGTTGAAGAATAAATTCTTTATTAACAATTGTACATTTGTAAATATAGGGAAAAAATGGTCAAAATTTTTTTTTTTCAGTCATCCTTTTGTCAGCTGTTACATGATTTTATTGGCTAGTAAAGACTCATTCAATGAATAGTCAACAACAGTACTATTGGTTCATCTAGCAAAAACAAATTTTCTTACAGCTCTTTTCATAATGCTAGCAAGACAAAGTTTTGTTTGACTTGCTTGCTTTGTTTGTATAAATGTTTGTCCAAGCATTGTAATTAAGATTGACATCTACAAACAATATAAGTAGGCAGAGTTAAACCTGTGTATAGGTAAATTTGATTATTTGATAATGTCCAATCAAATTTAAATATAATGTATACAAGTTTAAATCCGCCTTTTTATGTTGTTTTCAGATGCCAATCTTAATTACAATGCTTGAGCAAACATTGATACAAACAAAGCAAGCAAACCAAACAAACCTTTGTCTTGCTAGCATTATGAAAAGAGCTGTAATTGTTCAGTTTACACATGAATGATGGCATACTTGGCTAATTTGTTAAAAGATTTATCAAGGTAAAAAAAATTAAGAATAAATTGTTCTAGTTAACAAACTTAACTTCATTGTTCTTTTTACAGTTTCAAGTAAATCTATTGTAAAACTTACCCATAGGATTGCTTTGGACCGTTGTTTGAACTTTCACATTTAGGAATTCTTGGTCTTGTTTTAATTTTGCAAATTTCTGGTCTAAGGTCTAAAAATATAACAATACTTTTTCTTGTGACTAGCATAAATGATAGATGTAAGAAAAAAGACTTGTATTCAAGATCAAGACTATAGAAGAACTAAAACATAATCTGAAGGCTTAAATTAAGACTTCATTATTTTACAAACTACCAAAACAATTTGTAACATGTGTATGGGCCAGTTGTGTGGAAAAATTTACCATAAGTTATAATAAAATGCTCCGCAGGGCGCAGCTTGATACGACCGCAGAGGTCGAACCCTGAACAGTTGGGGGAAGTATGGACACAACATTCAAGCTTGATACAGCTTTGGATTTGGATTGTGATTAAATATTTGACACAGCATAGGTTTCTAACACAGATTGAATGTGGTCTAAGAACTTAAAAATTTTAAATTGGACATTCACCTATTATGGTCCAATATCCAAAATCTAAATACATGGTTAGATTCAGCATATCAAAGAACCCCAAGAATTCAATTTTTGATGAAATCAAACAAAGTTTAATTTTGGACCCTTTTGACCTCAATGTGGACAAAGTTAATAACGGGGCCCAAAAATCAAAAATCTAAATACATGGTTAGATTCAGCATATCAAAGAACCCTAAGAATTCAATTTTTGTTAAAATCAAACTAAGTTTAATTTTGGACCCTTTGGACCTTAATGTAGACCAATTTGAAAACTAAACCAAAAATTAAGAATCTAAATACACAGTTAGATTCGGCATATCAAAGAACCCCAATAATTCAATTTTTGATGAAATCAAACAAAGTTTAATTTTGGACCCTTTTGACCTCAATGTGGACAAAGTTGATAACGGGGCCCAAAAATCAAAAATCTAAATACATGGTTAGATTCAGCATATCAAAGAACCCCATATATTCAATTTTTGTTGAAATCAAACAAAGTTTAATTTTGGACCCCGATTTGGACCAACTTGAAAACTGGGCCCATAATCAAAAATCTAAATACATGTTTAGATTCAGCATATCAAAGAACCCTAAGAATTCAATTTTTGTTAAAATCAAACTAAGTTTAATTTTGGACCCTTTGGACCTTAATGTAGACCAATTTGAAAACGGAACCAAAATTTAAGAATCTAAATACACAGTTAGATTCGGCATATCAAAGAACCCCAATAATTCAATTTTTGATGAAATCAAACAAAGTTTAATTTTGGACCCTTTGGACCTCAATGTGGACCAATTTAAAAACGGGGCCCAAAATCCAAAAACTTAATACACGGTTAGATTCAGCATATTAAAGAACCCCATGAAATCAAGAATAAAACCCCATTGAAATTGGTCAAGAAATAAGCAATTTATAGGAAGTATCTTCTTTTGCACAATCCTGTGCTATTAAATATTTCTTGCTATTGCGCAATACTGTACAATTGACAATTTCTTGCTATTGCGCAATATTGTGCTATTGGATATTTCTTGCTATTGCGCAATACTGTGCAATTGAAGATTTCTTGCTATTGCGCAATACTGTGCAATTGAAGATTTCTTGCTATTGTGCAATACTGTGCAATTGAAAATTTCTTGCTATTGCACAATACTTATTATATAATAATTTACACATCCTGTTTGGTGTGTATCTCCTACCATATCATTATTATTTGATTTTAAATATAAATCAGAAATAACCAACTTAAAATGGAAAATTTTAAAAGAAACAAAAAAGGAAAAAAAGAAAAAAAAGGGAAAAAAAATAAATCCCCCCCCAAAATTTTTTGAACCCCCATTATGATTCATCACCCCCAAACTCAATCCCAGCCTTCCCTTTGTGGTATGGTACCTTGCAGTACAATTTCAGAGAGATCCATACACTTGAACACAAGTTATTGTCTGGAAACTAGAAAAAAATGTGTTTTTTGGCCCCTTTTTGGCCCCAAATTCCTAAACGTTTAGGGCAATTACCCCCAAACTCAAACCCAGCTTTCCCTTTGTGATATGGAACCTTGTAGTACAATTTCAGAAAGATCCATACACTTACACACAAGTTATTGTCATGAAACTAGAAAAATGCTTGTTTTTTGCCCCTTTTTTGGCCCCTAATTCCTAAAATTTGGAGGCAATTACCCCCAAAATCAATCCCAGCATTCCTTTAGTGATATGGAACCTTGTGGTACAATGTCAGAGAGATCCATACACTAACACACAAGTTATGTCTGGAAGTTACAAAAATGCTTATTTTTGGCCCCTTTTTGGCCCCTAATTCCTTTACTGTTATTACCATAACCCCCAAAATCAATCCCAACCTTCCTTTTGTGGTATTGAACCTTGTGGTAAAATTTCATAAAGATCCATTCACTTAAACTAAAGTTAGAGTGCGAAAACCAATGTGTCTTCGGACAACGCCGGACGACGACGACGACGACGACGACGGACGACGACGACGCCAACGTCATACCAATATACGACCACAAAAATTTGTTTGCGGTCGTATAAAAAGTTGTGTCATGATACAAATACATTTCATATTTAATAAAAGATTTATTCATAAAGAAGCAGAACTTTAAAAACAGTGAACTGGAAGTTCTTAAAATTATGACTAAAAATTTGTCTCTGAATCAAACAGTTTTATTCACTGGACTTTTCCAATTGTAATTCATATGATCTTCTAATTTTTACCAAACAACTGATCAAGTCAGAAATATTTAGAACTTCAATAAAAGACTGTAAGCATCTCCTGAATGAATGTAATAGACTATTTTCATATAACTGACTTTTGGCTCCGGATTATATAATTTTTTCGACAGGTAACCTACTCTGTGGTAGGACATCCTGGTACTTGGTCAAGTAAGAGCAACCAAAAGAAGTAAAATTAAATATATAATTGGAGAGAGTTTGGAGGGAAAGTTTACTGTTTTCCGATGATTTTTGTCAGGTATAGAAAACATAAAACAGCTAAATTCCCCCCGCCCCCTCTAAATTGTACCCATTTAAAGCTTGATTTTACTTCTTTACATTGCTCTTACTTGACCGAGTACCAGGATGTCCTACCAAAGAGTTAGGTAACCTGTTAAAAAATATATATTCCAGAGTATAAAAATAGTCTATTATGCTAGCTTATCAATTGTATACTATAAATATTTAGATCTATAGTTAAAGAAACATATTAGCAATAAATTACCATAATTTCATTTTGTAATCTTTCTATTTCAGCATTTTTATTGTCTCTTGTTATTCTCATGCTCTCTATACTGGAGGTAAAATCAGTCACACCATTTCTCACTTGGCCAATTTTTTGTCCTATCTCTTTCTTTTTCTCACGCTTAAAAAAAATGGTAAATAAAATATACACATCTATAAGCATCAGACAATGTCCTTAAATAGTGAATCCATGCTGTCATAATATGGTGGGGGTAAATCATTAAAAAAATAAGCAATATTTTTTATATAAATCTGCACCAAAGTGTCATATTTCAATTTCAACTGTGAAGAAGAGAGCAACAAATTAAAATATTCAGAATAATGATTGCACTAAATTTTATTCAGTTTTTAATGTTAATCACTTTAAATATCGTAAATATATTTATGTACGTAGCGGATGAATTTTATCGTATGATAATTCTATTAATATACCAATAGAATTGTAACCGGTTTTATGAACCTGAGTATATTTAAATACGGTGGACTTGATTTGAAATTATCGATAAGGGCGTTGACCATTCGCATGTACACAAGTAGTTTTGTTAGACATACTTAAGCACATATATATTCGAAAACAGTATTTAATACTTTTTGTAACATTTTTTGTTTGTCTTTTGTAGATTGTTGAGTGCAACATTTTTTAGTTTATTTAAACAGAGGACTAATTCTGTGGTGTGGACTTTATTTACACAATTATAAATCTATGTTATCGTTTGATATACATGTATTGCAATGTTTGATATATAAAAAGGAATGGTCATCGTACCTGACAAGTTCTAAAACTAGTGTTTTAGTTATTTCTATTATGAATGAGATAAGAAACAGATTGGGTCGAGGTATACAGAAATTATATAGTCTAGTACATAAATAATTTGAACGAAGAGAATTTAGAAAATAACTATTAGTAAGCAAGTATTCTGAGACAGTTCACTGATGTGTTTTCCCTCTAACAAAGAGTTCACTCTTAATATCACAAACCTAAAATAATCATAGCACTAACTCACCAATGACTCTAATTCACATTTCAGATTGCTAGATTTTGTCTTTGCAACACCAAGTTGTTCATATTCTCTTGCTTTCTCAGCTAACAGTTGTTCTTTTCTCTGTCTTTCCCATTCCATTTGTCTTTGTCTGTCAGATTCTCTTCTGGCAGCCTAATTAGGAAAACAAACAAGAATGCATGCGTTGTAGTGTCAAGTATAACCCAGTAGTATAACAAAGTATTGACAAACAGGAAGTAGGTAACTGACAAATCCTTTAGAGCTCTTTTCCTAATGCTTGTAGTTTATAGGTTTGTTTGACTTGCTTGCTTTGCTTGTATAATGTTTGCTCAAGCATTGTAATTAAGATTGACATCTGCAATCAACAGATAGGCGGGGCTTCAGCTTGTATACATTATACTGTGCATTATATACAAGCTGAAGACCCACCTATGTATTGATTGCAGATGTCAATCTTAATTACAATGCTTGAGCAAGAATTTATACAAACAAAGTAAGCAAGTAAAACAAACCTTTAAACTACAAGCATTAGGAAAACAGCTCTAAGTGCTCACGCATTACAACTTATCACTGTGAAGCTGCTGACCAAATTAGAAATTATTCTGTTAAAGTTTCTGAGGAAAGTGAGACAAAAAAATATTTTTATGGACAAACAGATGAATAAAGGATGGACAAGCTGTTAAGAATATTGTCCCCATTCATAGAGTGGGTGTAAGATAATTTTGAGTTTTAAGAGTTATCTAAATTTGTAGCTACATTTGTTTTTCTAAAATTTACTAAAGAAATTTTGGTAAATTTTGATTTTGATGATTATTACATTCAATACTTTTAGGAAAATAATTCAAACATTTGTACCTCTTTTTGTTCTAACATTTTCTGTCTCTGTAGTTCTTTCTCTCTTTCTATTGACCTTTGTTTTTCCAACTGTCTTTCTAGTTCCATCAATCTCTTTCTTTCTTGCTCTTGTCTAAAAAATATTAGAAAAGTTTTGGTATTGATTGATTTTTGGAGTTTAAAGGCACTTTCTGGACTATTGGCTATTTCATTGGGGCCATTTGTATTGTGGAGGAAGTCAGAGATGCCGGAGAACCACCGACCTTCAGCAAGAAAACTGGAAATCCTAGGCAATTAAGATTAGAATTGAACACACCTGCCAACTGCGCGATTGGAACTCACAACCTCAGTGTTGACAGGCTAGTGGTACAGTAGTTGAACTACTTAAGACTACTCATCCACCAAGATCCCTGAAAAGTTCAGTAAATGGTCTCCCAGAAATATACAAACCACAAAAATGTTACTGATAAAAGCATACTTTTCTAAAAAATTTGAAGACTAAAATCTCCTAGCTTAATATGGTTAAGAGGATGGTAATACATTAGTATGACAGCAATCTAACAATTCATTATATGGGTGTCATATGTGGAGAAGAATCTGCTTACCCTATCAGAGCACCTAAGATCACCTAAGATTTTGGTGGGGTTTGTTTTGGTCAGACCTTAGTTTTTTCTATGTTGTGTTTTGCAGGCTCATAGTCTTTTTTTCCCCCTTTTTTGCTATTGTGATGTTATTGTTATTGACTTGTGAGTTTTTGAGTATCCCTTTGGTATCCCCAACCTCTCTTTTATAATCTCATAAAGAACAGATATCTTTTACGAGGCTTTAAAGATAAAGGTTAACAAATATAACAGACAGCAACCAACAACAAATACTGAAAATTACCCAACATCCTAGCTAAAACACTGACTTACAACACTAATTCTAATTAGAAACATGATGCAGTCATAACCTCATAAATAATCACCCCCTTTTGTATTCTTTTTATTTCTAGCATTGCTTATGAGACAAACCTGATTCGTTCTCTTTTTTCCTGTTCTTGTCTTTCCTTCTCTAATCTAGCATTATTTTCTGCTCTCATTTGATCTTGTAACATCTGCCGTCTACGTTCCAACTCTGCCTGACCCTTGTCAAAGTTTATTTTCCTTTTATCTTCAAATGTTACTATAAACAAAAACATCAACTTAAGTTAAACTCTATAAAATACACAACCAAGTATTTCTACGATATCGTTTCAAACCAATCTTAAAGACTGAAAATTTTGCAGCTTTACTACTAACTTGCTTAGAAAGTTTCTTGTATTGGTCCAATTCGTAGCAAATATATTTTGACAGTAGCACTGGATTAAACAATGTAAATGTTCCCATAACACTGATATTTTTAATCTCTTAACAAACAAAATGATTCTGTATTACCAAATTGATTTTGATGTTAAAGGTAAAAGTATAAATAAATTAGAAGGTACCAGAACATATATTTTATAAATAAAGTTAGAGAACGGAAACAAAAAATTAAGCAATTTTTCCATTTGTAAAGGGGCATAACTCTAGAACAATAAAAGTGACGCCACCCAAATTCAAACTTGACCTGTGTTTTGTGTTAATAAGCATTGTATAATAAGTTTCATAACATTTGGTTGAGGCAAACTAAAGTTAGAGAACGGAAACCAATTTTGGGACGTACGTACGGACGGACGGAAAGACGGACAAGGGTAAAATTTAATGCCCCCTCCGCTACGTCGAGGATAAAAATTTCATATAATCATAGAAAGGAATTCTAAATGTTTATGTGTCATAGTTTCTATATTTTAGAATTGACCTTGCTGACATTTTTATTCACAGTGAAATAATATTTGAGGTTTCACATATGAATGTATAATTAAAACTTATATTTGTAATTTTGTCAACAACAAAGTCTATGAAAATCAAAACTTCCCAATATCTGGTCATCTAATATAACAGAACTTAAAAAAAATATTTTCTTCCATGCCTTGACAAATATTCCCACAAGTCCAATCATTTATAATGACAGCTGAGTGAACAAACTTTATCTCTTGTTTTTTCAAATGTTTCGACCTCAAGCATCACTGATGAGACATTGATTGTCAAAATGTACATCTAGTGCAGTAAAATTGTCACCATTAATGTTATTACAACAGTGACTAGTGAAACTATAAGGATAATTAGTGCATAAAATATTTCTTTTATCTTCAGTTGGGGTCAATTTCTGGGACAATAACACAGTGCTTGTACAACAATATTCATGAACACATAAACATGTATATTCAAATGTTTTTATTCCTCATTTGGAATGTATTAAAAAACAAATTGTCAACAGGCCGTCTAAAATTAAGTATTCTATTATCAGAAAAAGGAGTTTTTCTGTATACTGTATTCTCTTAAGATGTGTATTCTTTCAAAATTAGGACACACTTTTTATCATTAAGTCTTAAATCATCATTCAAATCATTAAAGCTAAAATCTTTTTTTCTTTTTAAATCTAAATATTTGTATATTTCTCATTCCAGCAAAAAAACACATACATGATGTCACCACTAGATTGCAATCAGCTGACACCATCTAAAGTTTAATTGTGTCGAAGAAATTCAATAACAAGTTCAAAACATTTCACAATTCTAGTCTACAAGCTTGATTTGGCTTTGTTTCATTTATTCAATCCTTGGCTGAGAACCAAATATTTAACTTCACAGGGCCTTAAATTTTATTTTTTGATTATCTTTTCATTTAATATACAAACAAGTGAGTGCATTTTAGGGAAGGACAAAACAATACCATCAAATTCATCTGAAATTAGAATAACAGGAATGAAACAAAAATCAGAGAAATATAAGAGGATTATGCATGATTATACTTTAATATTAATAATCTGCCAGTCATCACCTATTGATAGCATTTTAGATCACATGACAACTACACAAAATATCTGCTACTTGTTTGTTGTTTTAATATTAATCAGGCCGTTGTTTTTTTTCTTTTGAATTGTTTCTTGTTTTGTCATGCAGAGGCCTTTTAAGGCTTACTGCACAGTATGGGCTTTGCTCCATATTCTACCCTGAATAGTGCAACCTCGTCCTTTGGTCTCTGGTGGCATTTTGTCTCATTGGCAATCTAACCAAGTTTCCTTAATTTCATATATATGAAAAAAAAGTATTTTAGCTGACCAAATGTTCTGTTTGAAAAATTCCTATTGATCACATAGTTTCAAAGGTCATGTCTCTTCTGACCATTAAAAGTTTTTCTCTGAATCTCAATTAAGATTCAAAAAGTTTTATTGTTCCTTCTTTTGACGTTAAATGGATAAATCAAATTCACAGCTTGATAAGATGTTAAATATACCGTCCTTACATTGAGGATTCTACATCAAAATCATAAAGAGAAGGACATTCTTTTTTAATATATTAACAGATAATTAACTTTTTTAATATATTAACAGATATTTAACTACATTTCTTATAATAAAAATTTAAATAGATGGCGGCAATGATATATTCCATCTCCTCACCTGGTTGTAGGTCCTCCACCACATTATCTACAGGAACATTGGGCTGTGGTACTACTGGTGGGGGTATTCCCATGCCTCCTAGCAAATCTCCAAAAGCGTCAGACTTTTGTGGAGCTAAAATATAGTTTGTCATCATCAAGGAAACATATTAACATAACCTTTGTACAGCTTGTTTCCAAATATTATTATTTTAGCGTATTTTTGTATGATGATATATTTGTAATGATGATGAATAATTATGCTTAAACCATCATCATGAAAATCAGTTGATGGATTGAAAATGTCGTAAACTTTTGTGTGATACATTGTGAGTGGAGTGTGAGGCCCTCAAGGGAGAATAGTGTTTTTACTTATTAAGCTCACCTTTTTGAAATAAAGATTAATATTATATATTCATATAAATTTAATTTACAAATTGTGGCAAAAACCACATTTGCTTTGAAATAAAGAAAAATTCACAATTTGCAATTATTTTTTAAATGAATTTTATGCAGTAGCAAAACTACTAGCATATATATAACCTTTACAAAAATTACAAGACTGGACTATTTTTGTTTTTTGAACCATACCTGCTGGTTGATGAGGTGGTGGGGTACCAGTAAAGCTTCCTGTTCTTGGTGCAGTACCAGTCATACTTCCTGCTCTGACTTGGGCCGGGTAAAGTTCTGGTGGAAGTTTTGGTGGTAAAGATACACCGGCTTTGACTAAATCAGCCAAATGCAAAGCTATACAAAACTCTTCACAACTTAGCTTTCCATCTTTATCATAATCAGCCAAATTCCTGAAAAGAATAATTTGATATTCACTACAAAATGGTGAAAGTTTAAACTTTTTTTTTATTCACGTATAAGAGCACAAAATCTTACCCTTGACCATCTATAAAAAATGTTATGTATAACTGCAGTTATACATACCTAATGATATAATAAAAAGCAACAAAAAAAGCAAATACAGGAAAAAGTGGGATTGGACAGCCCTTTACATAATAACAAATAGGTTAAGGGATTCAGGACTGCCATTACTATGCACTACACTTTTGATTTCATACTAAAATTTTAACACGGTGGGTATAATTATGTGCATATTTATATCTGTGATTAGTGTTTGCTTTCATTTCATCTTTTTTTTTTATATACATGGTTTGTTATTTACATGTTTTCCTTCGTTAATTCAAATATGACCACAAATTTGATATGACACTAATGTTATTGAGAAGATCAACCATGTTTCATGATTCAACATAAAAAAAAACCATGGTGATAAGGAAATCAACTTCTACTACTTCATCAAAAGTAATACACTACTGTACCGGTAGATATACAAAATAAAATCTTATAAAAATATTAGGAGTTAACTTACCATATTTGAGCCAATATTGGCTGTGGTAATCCTGTCTGTACTAACAATGCTCTGGCTTCTACACCTGAAAGACCAAATAATCAGTTCAGATGTACATATAGTCAATTAAGAATAAGAATAAGAATAAGAATAAGAATATTTATTGAATCCAATTAAAGGGCCAGTTTCTGAGAATATACATGTATATATAAAGTATTAATTATACAGTAATTTTTTAGATATATTACCTTAAAAATAAAGAATTAAATAACTATACTCCATACCAGATGGTGTTTGAAAATAAATAAAATAGAATATTAACCCTCTCTAATACATAAAACATAAACTACATCACTACTACATGTATATTTAGTTTACTGAATTCTATGATAGGATTTTGGAATTATTTCATAGGAGAGTGACATTTTCACTACCTTTTGGGGTTGGGACATTTTAAAGGAAAATATATAGCATGTGCCACCATAAAAAAAGAAACAGACAACTGGAAGTGTCTCAGCTTTATCATGAGCCAGCATACCTAGCAAGTTCACAATATAGCCTGAGAAACTGCCTACTTGAAATGTGTTACACAAATTAATCCTAAATTTTGAGTCTTTTTTTACATCACATCTTCTTTTGTTTGATTCTTTGGTACAAAATGTAGCTTCAGTACTTTATAACTTACAAACCTGTTAAATATCCTCGTTTATGTCTATCATTGGTATTAAATGTCTGTGTATGTCTCAGCTTGGAATTATGTGGAATTGCAAACCCTACAGCTGGTGGACCACTGGAATATAAATAAAATATCTGATAACAGCAAGAATGTAAACTTTGCCTGAAAATAAATGCCTCCATGGTCTCATGGTCGCCATAACTACTTTAAAATTTGTGCATTTTCCATGTCCCAACACTTATGTTATTACGCCATATTAAAAACAAATCATTCAATGATATCACTATACCAATTGACCTCCCTCAACCAGTGTACTTATTTAATAAATAACTACTCTAGATTGGTCTATGGTCAAAACAAAAACGTAAAATATTGTACAGTGAATTTTTTAATCTTCTCACTTCTGCCAAGCACACAGCATTTAAGTGTAACAGCATGGACAGGTTAGTTCGAGGTCATAATAGTGTCTGAAAAGGGATTTAGTTTTCCAGGGTACTGTAACCTTATTTAATAGCAAGCATGTTATAATCTATCAAGGCATGTCAGTCTAGTACAAAGCAGGTTCAATAGCATGTTATCATTATAGATATTCATGTGATATTTGCCACTGGATATTTAAGTATATCTATTGATCAATAAATGTGTCTGAATTTATATATACATGTAAGTGGCTTTTAAACATCCTGGGATCTATTCAGCACATAGAGTTGACCTGAATGGGTATTATTTATTTTTTAAAGCACTATTTTGAAAATATACCTGTTGCCGTGAGTAGGAAATTTTTACTGCAATTAATGAGTGAAAATCTATTACAGGTAATTATGTTCACAGAACAATGAAGTTTCAAATAAATCTCTGAAAATCAACATACACTCAGGGCTCATGCTAGCAGGCAACTGTGGCGATAAAGCCGCTTTCGCGTCCGTCACTTCGCTTTGCCCGACCATCAAAAGCGAAATCTAGTCGCCCTGTTGTTCACCATACTCGCCTTTAGTCTCTTTCGTCATTGGAAATTTTCAATTTTTACCAAGTCGATGAAACGTCAATTTCTTATTTATAAGTAAAGAAATTAAAAGACATAAAAGATTTATTTTCTTCAGAAAAGAAGTTAAAGCATTGAACTTACAGTTTGTTGTGTGTTATTTCATAGAGACAATTTTTTTATCACTTTCGATGTTACTCGAGAGCGTACATCAAATCATTCTAATTTTCAGCAAAATAAGTTTGTTACTTCATTACAACGTGATGAAAGTTGCCTTCAGTAAATGTATAATCCATTTTTTGCATTAAAAACGTCATATTCCTTTCCAAATAGGTTGTCAAACATCGCTTATTTTTGTAAATATTCTTCGTCCGCCATTGAAATATTTGTACGAACTACAGATCGGAGGTGGGATTCATCGGAAACGGACCAGCTATGACAGAAATCTGTATTCTTCCGATAATAACTACGGATGCACGAATGGCACAACGGACAGAAGATTACGCATTCCACACGCATTAACAGACTTTTGGTTAGATCTGCTTGATTAATGTATATATTTCCGTGTATATGCATTGTTTCAATTTATTTTGCTTCACTCTGGGACTATTACACTAATAAGAATATATTATGTCCCAGCTTAACTTTGTTAAATTTATATATCTTTTTAATGAGAAACACTGAATTTAATAAACATGATAAACAGAATAGTTTTTTAATTGAATTGTAATTCATATATTATACTTTCTTTTCTTTTTTGATATAAAAATCTTTTTAGTGCTAGATATTTAGTAGGTATTTTCTGACAGGACTAATATAATTGTGCAATTAGATGTTATAAACTTAAACAACTTTGAATTTGAACTATTACTTTATTGTATACTCAGATCTATATGAATTGAACAATATAAAAAGAAAATAAGATACATATGGCCCTTTATAAAACATTGTAGCGCCGCAAGCGAATGAACACTTTTCTTTTAATCTTCAAATTTCACCACTTCTCCCTATCAGATTCAAAAAGAGAAGTCACTTCTCCCTATTATTCTGAAGTAGTGTGAGCTCTGACACTCATGTATGCTAGGAATGGAAGTACTTATAATTTATTCCAACAAAGAAACTTTTACAATTATACAAATAAGAGAAAAATACTGTTCAGATTTCATGATTTAATTTCTGACCTTTTTGAATTATAGCTCTTCATCCTTTTAATAAGCTTTGGATTTTCAAATATTTTAGCATCCAGCATCACTGAAGAGACATTTATGGTCCAAATGCCCATCTAGTGCAGAAAAATTGGTACGGTTATTGCTATCACTGGCAATTGAATGATCCTTTAATTTTTAACATTTAACATTTTCTAAAATTAAAATCTTTGGACATTCAAGCATCTATATCTTCAATTAGATGGGTAAATTTAAAAAGAAAAGATAATCATTTGCACTGATGAAAAAATAAATAGCTTACCCTGGTTGAGATACTTGGGCCACTTGAGGTTGACCAAATGAACCTGTCCTTGGTTTTCCATCAAATCCAACCTGCATACCCATGGTTTGACCACCTAAAATATATATATATATATAAGTTAACTTGTCATATTATCCTCACTATCTTGAAATACTCAGATGATCATTACAAGGAGGCAAATGCATGGAGAAACACTTCATCAAACTTCAGTAAATAGTTATCAAAGGTACCAGGATTATAATTTAATACGCCAGACGCACGTTTCGTCTACATTAGACTCATCAGTGACGCTCAGATCAAAACAGTTATAAAGCCAAACAAGTACAAAGTTGAAGAGCACTGAGGACCCAAAATTCCAAAAAGTTGTGCCAAATAGGGCTAAGGTAATCTATTCTTTGGATAAGAAAATCCTTAGTTTTACGAAAATTCAAAGTTTTGTAACAGGAAATTTATAATAAAATGCTTCGCTGGGCGCAGCTTGATACGACCGCAGAGGTCGAACCCTGAACAGTTGGGGCAAGTATGGACACAACATTCAAGCTTGATACAGCTCTGAATTTGGATTGTGATTAAATATTTGACACAGCATAGGTTTCTGACACAGAAAGAATGTGGTCTAAGAACTTCAATTTTTTTAATTTACCTATTATGGTCCAATGTCCAAAATCAAAATACATGGTTAGATTCAGCATATCAAAGAACCCCATATATTCAATTTTTGTTGAAATCAAACAAAGTTTAATTTTGGACCCCAACTTGGACAAACTTGAAAACTGGTCCCATAATCAAAAATCTAAACACATGTTTAGATTCAGCATATCAAAGTACCCAAAGAATTCAATTTTTGTTAAAATCAAACTAAGTTTAATTTTGGACCCTTTGGACCTTAATGTAGACAAATTTAAAAAACGGGACCCAAAATTAAAAATCTAAAAACACGGTTAGATTTGGCATATCAAAGAACCCCAATAATTAAATTTTTGATGAAATCAAACAAAGTTTAATTTTGGACCCTTTTGACCTCAATATGAACCAATTTGATAGCGGGCCCACAAATAAAAAATCTAAATACATGGTAAGATTCAGCATATCAAAGAACCCCATATATTCAATTTTTGTTGAAATCAAACAAAGTTTAATTTTGGACCCCAATTTGGATCAACTTGAAAACTGGGCCAAAAATCTAAAATCTAAATACATGTTTAGATTCAGCATATCAAAGAACCCCATATATTCAATTTTTGTTGAAATCAAACAAAGTTTAATTTTGGACCCCAACTTGGACCAACTTGAAAACTGGTCCCATAATCAAAAATCTAAACACATGTTTAGATTCAGCATATCAAAGAACCCCAAAAATTCAATTTTTGTTAAAATCAAACTAAGTTTAATTTTGGACCCTTTGGACCTTAATGTAGACCAATTTAAAAAACAGGACCAAGAATTAAAAATCTAAATACACGGTTAGATTTGGCATATCAAAGAACCCCAATAATTCAATTTTTGATGAAATCAAACAAAGTTTAATTTTGGACCCTTTTGACCTCAATATGAACCAATTTGATAGCGGGCCCACAAATAAAAAATCTAAATACATGGTAAGATTCAGCATATCAAAGAACCCCATATATTCAATTTTTGTTGAAATCAAACAAAGTTTAATTTTGGACCCCAATTTGGACCAACTTGAAAACTGGGCCAAAAATCTAAAATCTAAATACATGTTTAGATTCAGCATATCAAAGAACCCCATATATTCAATTTTTGTTGAAATCAAACAAAGTTTAATTTTGGACCCAACTTGGACCAACTTGAAAACTGGGCCCATAATCAAAAATCTAAACACATGTTTAGATTCAGCATATCAAAGAACCCCAAGAATTCAATTTTTGATAAAATCAAACTAAGTTTAATTTTGGACCCTTTGGACCTTAATGTAGACCAATTTAAATAAAATGCTCCGCAGGGCGCAGCTTGATACGACCGCAGAGGTCGAACCCTGAACAGTTTGGGCAAGTATGGACACAACATTCAAGCTTGATACAGCTCTGAATTTGGATTGTGATTAAATATTTGACACAGCATAGGTTTCTGACACAGAATGAATGTGGTCTAAGAACTTAAAAATTTTAAATTGGACATTCACCTATTATGGTCCAATATCCAAAATCTAAATACATGGTTAGATTCAGCATATCAAAGAACCCCAAGAATTCAATTTTTGATGAAATCAAACAAAGTTTAATTTTGGACCCTTTCGACCTCAATGTGGACAAAGTTGATAACGGGGCCCAAAAATCAAAAATCTAAATACATGGTTAGATTCAGCATATCAAAGAACCCCATATATTCAATTTTTGTTGAAATCAAACAAAGTTTAATTTTGGACCCTGATTTGGACCAGCTTGAAAACTGGGCCCATAATCAAAAATCTAAATACATGTTTAGATTCAGCATATCAAAGAACCCTAAAAATTCAATTTTTGTTAAAATCAAACTAAGTTTAATTTTGGACCCTTTGGACCTTTATGTAGACCAATTTGAAAACGGAACCAAAAATTAAGAATCTAAATACACGGTTAGATTCGGCATATCAAAGAACCCCAATAATTCAATTTTTGATGAAATCAAACAAAGTTAAATTTTGGACCCTTTGGACTTCAATGTGGACCAATTTTAAAACGGGGCCCAAAATCCAAAAACTTAATACACCGTTAGATTCAGCATATTACAGAACCCCATATATTCAATTTTTGTTGAAATCAAACAAAGTTTAATTTTGGACCCCGATTTGGACCAACTTGAAAACTGGGCCCATAATCAAAAATCTAAATACATGGTTAGATTCAGCATATCAAAGAACCCCATATATTCAATTTTTGTTGAAATCAAACAAAGTTTAATTTTGGACCCCGATTTGGACCAACTTGAAAACTGGGCCCATAATCAAAAATCTAAATACATGGTTAGATTCAGCATATCAAAGAACCCCATATATTCAATTTTTGATGAAATCAAACAAAGTTTAATTTTGGACCCTTTTGATCTCAATGTGGACAAAGTTGATAACGGGGCCCAACAATCAAAAATCTAAATACATGGTTAGATTCAGCATATCAAAGAACCCCATATATTCAATTTTTGTTGAAATCAAACAAAGTTTAATTTTGGACCCCGATTTGGACCAACTTGAAAACTGGGCCCAAAAACAAAAATCTAAATACATGGTTAGATTCAGCATATCAAAGAACCCCATATATTCAATTTTTGTTGAAATCAAACAAAGTTTAATTTTGGACCCCGATTTGGACCAACTTGAAAACTGGGCCCATAATCAAAAATCTAAATACATGGTTAGATTCAGCATATCAAAGAACCCCATATATTCAATTTTTGTTGAAATCAAACTAAGTTTAATTTTGGACCCTTTGGACCTTTATGTAGACCAATTTGAAAACAGAACCAAAAATTAAGAATCTAAATACACGGTTAGATTCGGCATATCAAAGAACCCCAATAATTCAATTTTTGATGAAATCAAACAAAGTTAAATTTTGGACCCTTTGGACCTCAATGTGGACCAATTTAAAAACGGGGCCCAAAATCCAAAAACTTAATACACGGTTAGATTCAGCATATTAAAGAACCCCAAGAATTCAAGAATAAATCCCCATTGAAATTGATCAAGAAATAAGCAATTTATACGAAGTATCTTCTTTTGCACAATACTGTGCAATTGATTATTTCTTGCTATTGCGCAATACTGTACAATTGACAATTTCTTGCTATTGCGCAATATTGTGCTATTGGATATTTCTTGCTATTGCGCAATACTGTGCAATTGAAGATTTCTTGCTATTGCGCAATACTGTGCAATTGAAGATTTCTTGCTATTGCGCAATACTGTGCAATTGAAGATTTCTTGCTATTGTGCAATACTGTGCAATTGAAAATTTCTTGCTATTGCACAATACTTATTATATAATAATTTACACATCCTGTTTGGTGTGTATCTCCTACCATATCATTATTATTTGCTTTTAAATATAAATCAGAAATAACCAACTTAAAATGGAAAATTTTAAAAGAAAAAAAAAAGGAAAAAAAGAAAAAAAAAAATCCCCCCCCCAAAATTTTTTGAACCCCCTTATGATTCATCACCCCCAAACTCAATCTCAGCCTTCCCTTTGTGGTATGGTACCTTGCAGTACAATTTCAGAGAGATCCATACACTTGAACACAAGTTATTGTCTGGAAACTAGAAAAATGCTTATTTTTGGCCCCTTTTTGGCCCCCAATTCCTAAATGTTTCGGGCAATTACCCCCAAACTCAATTCCAGCTTTCCCTTTGTGATATGGAACCTTGTAGTACAATTTCAGAAATATCCAAACACTTACACACAAGTTATTGTCATGAAACTAGAAAAATGCTTGTTTTTTGCCCCTTTTTTGGCCCCTAATTCCTAACATTTTGAGGCAATTACCCCCAAAATCAATTACAGCCTTCCCTTTGTGATATGGAACCTTGTGGTACAATGTCAGAGAGATCCATACACTTACACACAAGTTATTGTCTGGAAGTTACAAAAATGCTTATTGTTGGCCCCTTTTTGGCCCCTAATTCCTTAACTGTTGGTACCATAACCCCCAAAATCAATCCCAACCTTCCTTTCATGGTATTGAACCTTATGGTAAAATTTCATGGAGATCCATTCACTTAAACTAAAGTTAGAGTGCGAAAACCAATGTGTCTTCGGACGACGCCAGACGACGCCGGACGACGACGACGACGACGACGACAACGACGACGACGACGACGACGACGACGCCAACGTCATACCAATATACGACCAAAAAATTTTCAATTTTTGCGGTCGTATAAAAACGGGACCCAAAATTAAAAATCTAAATACACGGTTAAATTCTGCATATCAAAGAACCCCAATAATTCAATTTTTGATGAAATCAAACAAAGTTAAATTTTGGACCCTTTGGACCTCAATGTGGACCAATTTAAAAACGGGGCCCAAAATCCAAAAACTTAATACACGGTTAGATTCAGCATATTAAAGAACCCCAAGAATTCAAGAATAAAACCCCATTGAAATTGATCAAGAAATAAGCAATTTATACGAAGTATCTTCTTTTGCACAATACTGTGCAATTGAATATTTCTTGCTATTGCGCAATACTGTACAATTGACAATTTCTTGCTATTGCGCAATATTGTGCTATTGGATATTTCTTGCTATTGCGCAATACTGTGCAATTGAAGATTTCTTGCTATTGCGCAATACTGTGCAATTGAAGATTTCTTGCTATTGTGCAATACTGTGCAATTGAAAATTTCTTGCTATTGCACAATACTTATTATATAATAATTTACACATCCTGTTTGGTGTGTATCTCCTACCATATCATTATTATTTGCTTTTAAATATAAATCAGAAATAACCAACTTAAAATGGAAAATTTTAAAAGAAAAAAAAAAGGAAAAAAAGAAAAAAAAAAAAAAAAAAAAATCCCCCCCCCCAAATTTTTTGAACCCCCTTATGATTCATCACCCCCAAACTCAATCCCAGCCTTCCCTTTGTGGTATGGTACCTTGCAGTACAATTTCAGAGAGATCCATACACTTGAACACAAGTTATTGTCTGGAAACTAGAAAAATGCTTATTTTTGGCCCCTTTTTGGCCCCCAATTCCTAAACGTTTCGGGCAATTACCCCCAAACTCAATTCCAGCTTTCCCTTTGTGATATGGTACCTTGTAGTACAATTTCAGAAATATCCAAACACTTACACACAAGTTATTGTCATGAAACTAGAAAAATGCTTGTTTTTTGCCCCTTTTTTGGCCCCTAATTCCTAAAATTTTGAGGCAATTACCCCCAAAATCAATTACAGCCTTCCCTTTGTGATATGGAACCTTGTGGTACAATGTCAGAGAGATCCATACACTTACACACAAGTTATTGTCTGAAAGTTACAAAAATGCTTATTTTTGGCCCCTTTTTGGCCCCTAATTCCTTAACTGTTGGTACCATAACCCCCAAAATCAATCCCAACCTTCCTTTCGTGGTATTGAACCTTATGGTGAAATTTCATGGAGATCCATTCACTTAAACTAAAGTTAGAGTGCGAAAACCAATGTGTCTTCGGACGACGACGCCGGACGACGACGACGACGCCAACGTCATACCAATATACGACCAAAAAATTTTTAATTTTTGCGGTCGTATAAAAATGACCAGTAAATTACATGCCATTAGAGAGGTTTTTATATATTCTGTAGAGACAACTATGCATGAATATTCATGAATGTTAATTTCTATTTAAGGAATGGGGACAGTCATTGGTCCATAAGGTCTTGAATTCAAAGGTCTGAATAGTTACTGTAAAGGAAATTTTATTGATGTATAACAACTTTTTTTTTTTGCAAACTCTTGTGAAATTATTACTAGTAAACAAACCAACGTTACTTCTATAAATGCTTATCGAATATTGTTTAACAGAACTTTTCCAGTATAACCTACCCATGTGCCCCATCTGTGGATTTACACCATTGGACATAATCGGCATTGCCATGGAACTTGCTACCATGTTGGTTGGTGCTAAACCACTCATCATAGGCATTCCTAACAAACAAGTATATCAGAACAATTTATAAAATGTCACTCTTCCCAATAATAACAAGAAATGATTGTAACAGGATGCTGTTACGAAGTCTCCCAAACGAAGCTCCCATAATTCGTAATTCCCAGGGTCGCCTGACATTGGACAAAGCCCAGTGAAAATTGGTTTGGTCCAGTAAAGTTATATGCATTAGTGATGCCTGGGGACTAACCCTGTATATCATTCAAATCATCTTGGCATGACAAACCAGAATATATATGGTTTAGGGGTGGGGATCTCGACTATTTACAAGATACTAGAACATTGGGGATTGGGGGGAACCCCTGAGGACTGACCCTATACGTCATTCAAATGTTTGAGACATGACGAACAGGAATATATATGGTTTAGGGGTGGGGATCTCGACCATTTACAAGATATAAGAACTTTCTCAAAAGGCATGGGGTAGGGATGACCCCTTGGGACTAACCCTGTATATCATTCAAACCATCTTGGTATGACAAACCAGAATATATATGGTTTAGGGGTGGGGATCTTGACCATTTACAAGATATTAGAACTTTCTTAAATTGCAGGGGGTGGGGTGACCCCTGGGGACTAACCCTGTATATCATTCAAACCATCTTCGCATGACAAATCAGAATATATATGGTTTAGGGGTGGGGATCTCGACCACTTACAAGATATTAGAACTTTCTTAAATGGCAGGGGGTGGGGTGACCTCTAGGGACTAACCCTGTATTTCATTTGATGTGCTTTATCATGACAAACCAGAATATACATGGTTTAGGGGTGGGGATCTCAACCATTTACAAGATATTAGAACTTTCTCAAATGGCAGGGGGTCGGGATGACCCCTGGGGACTAACCCTGTATATCATGCAAACCATCTTAGCATGACAAACCAGAATATATATGGTTTAGGGGTGGGGATCTCGACCATTTACAAGATATTAGAACTTTCTCAAATGGCAGGGGGTAGGGATGACCCCTGGGGACTAACCCTGTATATCATTCAAACCATCTTAGCATGACAAACCAGAACATATATGGTTTAGGGGTGGGGATCTCGACCACTTACAAGATATTAGAACTTTCTTAAATGGAAGGGGGTGGGGTGACCCCTGGGGACTAACCCTGTATTTTATTTGATGTGCTTTATCATGAAAAACCAGAATATATATGGTTTAGGGGTGGGGATCTCGACCACTTACAAGATATTAGAACTTTCTTAAATGGGAGGGGGTGGGGGTGACCCCTGGGGATTAACCCTGTTTATCATTCAAACCATCTTAGCATGACAAACCAGAATATACATGGTTTAGGGGTGGGGATCTCAACCATTTACAAGATATTAGAACTTTCTCAAATGGCAGGGGGTCGGGATGACCCCTGGGGACTAACCCTGTACCTCATTCAAACCATCTTAGCATGACAAACCAGAATATATATGGTTTAGGGGTGGGGATCTCGACCACTTACAAGATATTAGAACTTTCTTAAATGGGAGGGGGTGGGGGTGACCCCTGGGGACTAACCCTGTATATCATTCAAACCATCTTAGCATGACAAACCAGAATATACATGGTTTAGGGATGGGGATCTCGACCACTTACAAGATATTAGAACTTTCTTAAATGGGAGGGGGTGGGGGTGACCCCTGGGGACTAACCCTGTATTTTATTTGATGTGCTTTATCATGACAAACCAGAATATATATGGTTTAGGGGTGGGGATCTCGACCATTTACAAGATATTAGAACTTTCTTAGATGGCAGGGGGTGGGGGTGACCCCTGGGGACTAACCCTGTATTTCATTTAATGTGCTTTATCATTTAGAACATTCTTAATTAAAAAGATTGTGTCTCTCACAAACGGTTTTCAATTAATAATCATTTGAAAATTTTAAAAAATAAAATCCCATAGGGTTCTATAGTAAAACCCTCCTTTCTTTTTGCCCCTCAAAGTACCCCTTTATAAACCCTATTGCAAAAACAAAACCCTGATTGCACCACTACACATGTTAGTCTAACATATTGTGAAACCCTAAGTTAATCCGACAAGCGGTTTTGGAGAACGGGTACGGACAAGTTCAAATTTAAAAGCGGCGGAAGAAGAAGAAGAAGAAGAAGAAGAAGAATAATAATAATAAGAACTGAGCAAAAACAATAAGTCTTCCCAAACTTCGTTTGGGAGACTTAATAATAATAATACAAATAATTCAAAGTTGTATTTTTGAAACTCTTGTCCAATCTCAGCTCTTCTTAAAAATTAGCAGTAATAGAATGCTTACTATTCAGATTCATTCAGATTTACATGTATTTATTATCTTTGTTGAAATAAGCCATTAATAAAATGTTCCGCTGGGCACAGCTTGATACGACCGCAGAGGTCGAACCCTGAACAGTTGGGGCAAGTATGGACACAACATTCAAGCTTGATACACACTGAATTTGGATTGTGATTAAATATTTGACACAGCATAGGTTTCTGACACAGAATGAATGTGGTCTAAGAACATATAAATTTTTAATTTACCTATTCAAACCATATCATTATTATTTGCTTTTATATATAAATCAGAAATAACCAATTTAAATTGGAAAATTTTAAAGAAAAAAAAAGGAAAAAAAGGAGAAAAAAAATCCCTCCCCCCAAATTTTTTGAATCCCCTTATGATTCATCACCCCCAAACTCAATCCCAGCCTTCCCTTTGTGGTATGGTACCTTGCAGTACAATTTCAGAGAGATCCATACACTTGAACACAAGTTATTGTCTGGAAACTAGAAAAATGCTTGTTTTTTGCCCCTTTTTTGCCCCAAATTCCTAAACGTTTAGGGCAATTTCCCCCAAACTCAAACCCAGCTTTCTCTTTGTGATATGGAACCTTGTAGTACAATTTCATAAAGATTCATTCACTTACACACAAGTTATTGTCCTGAAACTAGAAAAATGCTTGTTCTTTGCCCCTTTTTTGGCCCCTTATTCCTAAAATTTTGAGGCAATCACCCCCAAAATCCATCCCAGCCTTCCCTTTGTGGTATGGTACCTTCCAGTATAATTTCAGAGAGATCTATACACGTGAACACATGTTATTGTCTGGAAACTAGAAAATGCTTATTTTTGGCCCCTTATTCCTAAACGTTTTGGGCAATTACCCCCAAACTCAATTCCAGCTTTCCTTTTGTGATATGGAACCTTGTAGTACAATTTCAGAAAGATCCATACACTTACACACAAGTTATTGTTATGAAACTAGAAAAATGCTTGTTTTTTGCCCCTTTTTTGGCCCCTTATTCCTAAAATTTTGAGGCAATTACCCCCAAAATCAATCCCAGCATTCCCTTTGTGATATGGAACCTTGTGGTACAATGTCAGAGAGATCCATAAACTAACACACAACTTATGTATGGAAGTTACAAAAATTCTTATTTTTGGCCCCTTTTTGGCTCCTCATTCCTTAACTGTTGGTACCATAACCCCCAAAATCAATCCCAACCTTCCTTTTGTGGTATTGAACCTTATGGTAAAATTTCATAGAGATCCATTCACTTAAACTAAAGTTAGAGTGCGAAAACCAATGTGTCTTCGGACGACAATGACGACAAAGCCAACGTCATACCAATATACGATTTGCGGTCGTATAAAAATTGAACATAAAATTATCGTCCCTATTAAAAACTGTCTCTGAAATTGAAGGTGGAAAGTTTGTATAAAATACAGAGCTGTATGTGTTATTTTCCAAACTTTTCTCAAAAAGATGTCATGAGTTTCTATTTTGTAAGTCTTTCAAACCTTCACTTCAAACTCTAATATGAAGCCTTTAACACGGAGCCTTGGCTCACACCAAACAGCAAGCTATAAAGGGACCCAAATGACTAGTGTAAAACAATTCAAACAGGAAAACCAACAGTCAAGGCTATAATCTCCAACCTTTTGGTAATAGGTAAGCATTAAAGACTGAGTGGAAATGTACTCATACCTGTAACCATACTCATCCCCATAGGAGCAGCCATCCCAGCTGACATTGGCGAGGGATCAGCCTTCAGACTCTGAGGCAATGATTTTGGGAGCTCAAATCCTTGTAATTTTTTCTTGATAAGATGCATGGCTATAGAAAACTCTTTCTTGTCCATTTTTCCATCATTGTTCATGTCAGCAAGGGTCCTGAAATTCAAATTAATGCATTTACCATACTGTGGATTCAATTATTTTCGTGGTAGAGAAACAATTGTAGTTTCTTGGATATTTAATTTTGTGGTTCTACCAAACTCTTTATATAACCCTATACTTGCTACAGAAAATTTGTACTTAGATGAACATTTAAATTCGTGGTTCAAGTATACCATCAAAATGCGGGAAAATAAGTATTCCACGAATAATAATAAATCCACAGTTATCTTGCTACAGTACATTCGATGTGCAGTGTTCCGAGACCAAAGTTATTGTCTTTGATTTTATGATCTACAAGTATAGTATAGACAGTGTGGTACTTGCAAATAGCAAGAAGGACAAAGGAATTACACTCTGAACAAATTTGGGTCTTCAATTTTGAGCTCAAGTAGTGATTTGGAATTTTCTATAATTTTGATATAATTTGTCCCAAAAGTAGAACACTTAAAGTTCAGTCAAAATCTTGTTGAGGAAGCATGGGTGAGATTTTAAGAATTTAGCATTTTTATAGTTCTAAAGAAATGCAATACAGAATTAGATGTAGTATCTACCATATGTCTGATACAGTATACATTTTATTTCATGTTGTATTTAAATCTATATTACATTGAGATGTTACTTCACGTTTATATTCATATGAGTTGCTTGAAAACTTGTCAAAAAACACAAAGGTTTCAGACCAAACTAAATCCATAATTTTTCTGTCAGTTACAATCTTTAAATGAAATTTAAAAGATTAAGCACAGAAAACTAATTTTACAGTGCTATCTGGATCATCTGTAGTGAAGTTCGTTTTTGTTTGTACAAGTTTACTTTTGTAGAAGCCACTTGTTGGGTGTGGTCTGTTGGTAATTCCTGCTCTTCTTTTCATGTATCATTCTATCATCAAGAAATGATGAAATGCTCTTCAACTTCATACTTTATTTGGCCTTTTCAATTTTTTTGATTCAAAGGTCACTGATGAGTCTTTTGTAGACAAAACATGTGTCTGGTGTACAAAATAATAAGCCTGGCATCTTTGATGACTTTTTTCTTGTAAGGATTTTTGTCATTGTGAATCGAATCGTCTGGTGTACAAAATAATAAGCCTGGCATCTTTGATGATGTTTTTCTTGTAAGGATTTTTGTCATTGTGAATCGAATCGTCTGGTGTACAAAATAATAAGCCTGGCATCTTTGATGACGTTTTTCTTGTAAGGATTTTTGTCATTGTGAATCGAATCGTCTGGTGTACAAAATAATAAGCCTGGCATCTTTGATGACTTTTTTCTTGTAATGATTTTTTTTTATTGTATATCATTATAACAGAAATATGAAACTTACCATATCTGACCTAACATAGGTGTTGGTAGACCAGACTGCATAAAAAATCCTTTGGCTTGTTCTCCTGTAAAAATTGTTAAAAATATAACATATATATGTGTTCATAATCCATGAAATCTGGATCAAAACCCTAATTTGGCATTCATCTTTTAAATAGTTCACTTTATAAAGTCAGCCTTTTATAGCTGATTATACAGTATGGGTTTCACTCATTGTTGAAGGCTGTACTGTATATTTACCCAGTGTTTTCCCTAGGCTATTCAAGCATTGCGGTACCGCTACGCATAAATTTCGACCGCCATGCTTTCATCATTGCCGCAAAGCATCCCGCTATGTGTGAAAATTATAACTGTGTAAAATATTTATTATCGATATTTTGAAAGTGAAGTAACAAGCGACAACACTCCACAGGTGTTTTAAACTCATCCGACTAATAATTGAATGCATCATGTCGCGCATGCCGGGATTTTACAACCTTCTTGATTAGACGGTTATACATCGAGACTTGGGTTACATAATAGAAGTTACCAGTCAGCTGATAAATAAATAGTCAGATTTATCTCCAATGCATATCTTTCTGTGCTAAATAAAAAGTTTAACCTTTTCCTGTATAAATTTCACCTTAAAAACGGCCGGGTGTTTGACATCGTTATTTTACTGTGATCTTTAAAAAGTAGAAATTTAAAATTTGGTATAGTCTCTGGTATTATAAAATAAAACTAAAATAATTTCACCGAGAATGGACAGAACATTTTTTTTAATAAAGTTTCGCAGTTACTTCATCAGCTATATTTACATCGATGAATTATTTTTTGATTGGTCACAACAATCAGTTATTTTTAGATTAGTCGCGGTTGATTGATTTTATCAAAGAATACACATCACCGCCACCGTGCCGAGAAAAAGACGTGTCTTATGAAATATTTAAAAGATTTGATAGAAAAACTTTCAAATATACGTAGTTATTTACGGAAATATTGTTTTTAATAAACTGCTTTGTTAAATGTTTTTAGTATGTAAACTAGATGTAACTGGAAAACACAAATCCCCCCTTTATGGAATATTTCTATCATGTTTATAGTACCTGTGATGAATCCATTAACTGGTTTGAGCTGAAAGAACTGAGAATCATGCTTCATTCTCTCTTCACCTGAAATCCTCCATGCATCTCCAGCTAAAATAGAAAAAAATCATATGAATGCAAAATAATCAAAGAAAATGTGATACATGTATTAAACAAATAAAGATTTTATGCTAATTTAGTTCAGCTAGTACAGATAAGAGGTTCATTTGAAATATTTGCCACTAGACATTGAACAAGCTTAAATCAAACAATCTGCCTTCTACAGATCATTACCAGGACTAGATTGCCATTATGGACATGATTGTTCACTATACTGTGAATATATGTATATTCCTAGATACCAATATTCGTGGATTGAGGAAAAATGGTATTTTCGTGGATATTTGATTTCATTGTTTTGCCAAAGTCTATAGCTACATACAAGCCTATAGAAAATTCCTACTTTGTTGAACATTTATATTCATGGATTAATTATCATGGTAATGCCCACGAAATACATGAAAATTGGTATCCCACAAAAAATAAATAAATCCACAGTATATGTACAGCAAGTACAGCAAGAATGGACATGACATCTATTTTCTTCATTACAGAATAAAACATAAGATACATTTGTAAAATATTTTCTTTTGGATTCAGTAATTTCACATTATTATGGTACTATGAGGTTAAAATTGAGTGGACCATTTATGCTCAGTCATTTGTAATATATGTTCATATACTTGAAAATCTATGTGATATTTATTTGTATAACTACATGTTCATGTATACATGTAAGTAAATTTGTCTGAGTTCAATTTTTTCTGAATGTTTTGAATAATCTCCCTTTACGCTTTTCAAAAAATTTACTTATAAACGTAACTTAATTTTACAACCCATAAAATTCTAAAGCTTTGGGAAAGTCATTTCTTGACTCAAATATTTTTCCCTGGTTTGTTTCATATTCCCCCATCACCTTAGGTTATAATTATCTTATTTTTTAATCAAAGTTCACTCTTTTATCTCAAGACATGTACTATCAGGACAATGCACAAATGTTAAGTAACTATGCAACGCCTTTCACAACTGTTCCCTGGTCAAAGCTGGAGGCTTGTAAATAGGCAGTTATTGAATAAACAGGCAATTGAGATTTTCATTCTCCATTAAATTGTACTTCTATGAATTATAAAGACTTCTGCTAAAAACAAGAAAATTAAAAATATAAGAGCACTGTAGTCAAGAGAAAACAAAGATTAGAAGAAAACGTGACTTTTTCACTTATAAACCAGTAAAAATTGTAAAACCTTTAAATATGTTTTCTGTAAAGGTAGATAACTCGACCCAAAAAAAGAGTTACCTGTACCAGGAAAAAAAATAAATAATCTACTTTCAGTTTCGTTTTGCTCAGCCTTTATTTTTCTAAGTCGTGTTTTGTGTTCTGTTGTTTTGTCTTTTCATTGTTTTTGGTTTTTTTTGCCATGGTTGTGTCAGTTTATTTCCGTCTAATTAATTTGATAATTCATATAGGGTATCTTTAGCCTCTCTTTAGAACAAGTTTAACTCCTGACTGATGGTGGTCAGGATAAAACAACAAAATCCAAAAGCACATATCTAAAATTATAGATAGATTGAAGTCTTATCCTAAGGCTAAGGTAGTAAATGTAAACATTTAATCAAATATACAATTTAGCATTTATTGTCTTGCTGGGTTGAACATGTTGAATAGCATGTATAAATTTATTTTAACTGCAATTTTATAAGATCTACGTACCACCTGTTCCAGCCATATTTTGGTCTTATTTATAAATTGTGTCTATTTCACCTGAAATGGAAAATAGAAACGGTTTTGATGTTGGATATCAGTATGATCAGTTTATTAATTAATTTTTATCATAAAAATAAAAACATATTAAAGTGTTACATGGTATTTTTATGCACAATTAATTAACAAAAAGCTAATTCATTACTTTTATTTTTTTCATTTTCAATGAACACAATGATTTTCTATAATAAGAGCACATCTTCACTAAAATGGTATTATATTTTGATTTTTTGCATATTCCATAGATCAGAACCAGATTGTGAACATTTCTTTTGACCACAAGTTTCAGCTAAACCCATCTTTTAAATCATTTGTAAATCCCTTAGCTGTCATACTTAAGAGTCAGAGACATCATGAAACTAATTTATTGTCCGACGGAATGTGAGACAGAAACTCAAAAAGTTTGGCACACTGACTATAATCATAATTTGTGACATACATTGTAGGAAATGTACTCAGTCTTCACGCTTAACCACAAGTCCTACGGCATTGGCTTGTAAAATTGTTTTTCGGGCTTGTAAAATTATTCTCTTCAAGCCAACAGAATCCAACTAAAATTTTCAAGAAATTGAGCTTCTGGCTTGTGGACTCAAAAGTTAAGCGTGAAGGCTGTGTACTGGAAAATGCATCAATTTCATGAATTTGACAGTTGTCTATACAAACACAGAGTGCATATCTTTTTTAAAACATAGCTAGGTCTTAAAACTTTTTAAGGTTTGTCCGTGTTCAGAGATTTATTTGAGGTGTATACAGCCTTTTATACCCACTTGTACTGAGGTGGTGATATCATGAACCTTCAATCTAAGGTTAATCTTTCATGAAGGTGTTGTAAGTAAAATAATGTATATGTTATAAAAATTTCGTAACAGCTGTTGTGTCTTAACTGCTGATATGTTATGAGGGACGGACTTAGAGCTTGATATCAAACAGTCAAAAACGGCCCATAGAATAATTTGTTATTTTGACGCAAGTGCTTACATTAAATTGTAAAGAATCATTTCAAAGTTTCATCTCTACAAAACCGTCACACATGTCTTCCGTAAATTTAGTGGTTGCAATCACGAAAGTATAGGGAAAACATTTAAAATCCTAATTTTATGTTCTGCAGTGTACACCCCAACAAAACCGGAAACGAATTGCATTGTGGTCAATAGGCGTGAGAAGAACTTCCGGTTTCGTTTTATTTATCTGTTGTCTGCTAAAAAATAAAAATAGCATGGGTTTATAACTTTGAAGGTAATCCATAACACTTAACGTAAGCAAATATATATATATAAAAAAATGGAAGATTCTGAAAATAAATACAAAAGATTGTGGTGGTAAACACCAACAAACAAACAACACATCAGCTGTCAGATGATAGATCACAGGAAGGTTCAACTAAAGTCAAAACCGAGAACAAGTTATATATATTTTGTTCAAATAATGTTAAGAGTAATGCTTAACTTTTTTCTCAGTTTGGTGCTAAAAGTAGTTCCTCCTAAATTTGACAAAATAATTTAATATCTTCGTATTATGGGTTTTCGTGCTATTAGTATTAAGAATGCATAACTTGTGATGTCACAATTTTCATTGAAAAAGCATGCAAAGACAAAGAACGAATTCATATGAAGTACGAAAACATATGATCTGACAATAGATTGTGTAAGCACGATTCTTATAAGCAGTAGAGAAATATCCCTTTAATATTCCTGTTACACTTGTTTAGCAGGTGTTTAGTTGATACTGATACTCAGTGATAGCCAGCCTTAAGAGGTTGTAATGTATTTTCCATAGCATTGTATGTGCCATCCTCTACTCTGGTATCGGGTCCATTCGCCCTTATTACATGTTCGTCCTGGGTCCGTTAACCAATAGTTCGTTCGCCCATAGAGTCTGTTCGCCCTGGGTCCGTTCGCCCTAATTTTTATAAACAAAATAATATTAATGATTTAATTTAAAGTTTTGTAATCTTATTCGGATATTTAAATGGTAAATATAAAAAAATGTATATCTCCAAATTCATGAATAAACATTGAAATTAAAAGAAAAGGTGATATATTTCTGAAGTGGAAAAGCCTTAGTATTCTGAAAATTCACAAAGTTTTGTAATTTAGAATGCTGATTAATAGATATGATTACGATGTCTTTGATCTCACTGATTGTTGTAGTTATTGTTTATGATGAATTAATAATAAAATTGTTTTTAAATAAACAAGTCAGCTTGGAATGAGTTAAAACAATGATGTAAGAATTGTAAGACATGAAAGGGAAATTGTTTTCGCCGCTTGGCTTCTTTGATCTCAAGGTGTTGAGTGAGTTGGATCTTGCTATACCTGTTTCAGTGGCGTAGCATGCCATCTGTTATTACTGAGGCAGGGGGTCTGGGGGGCAGAGGCCCCCTTTAAGCTGCAGAGGTTTTGAAATTTGAACAAGAAGATTCTATTAAAAAATAGCAGTTGTTTTATTTTACTTCATCATAATAATAAGGGCGAACAGGTACTAGGGCGAACGCGAATCAGGGCAAACGGACCCGGATTCCTCTACTCTTCGTCAATATATACTGCTTTCAATGTAAGATTATATTATTTGCATCAGTAAGAAAACAAGATGAAATAAAACATCCTTTTTATTCTAAGCATGTAACTAACTTGGTTTGTTTACAGTTTAATTAGTTACTGACACAGAATGAAAGGAATTTATATCTTGAGTCCATTAAATCAACAAAAATTTACATTGGATCAGGAGGTAAGATTTTTGTTTATTCATTTCCCCTTCTTCTAAGTAAAATTTATCCTAGATCAGGAGGTAAGAATTTTATATTTATCTCCCCTTTCTTATTTATAGTAAAATTTACCCTGGATCAGGAGGTAATAATTTTATATGCATCTCCCCTTCTTCTTAGTAAAATTTACCCTGGATCAGAAGATTATATTTTTATATTTATCTCCCCTTCTGATTAAAATTTATCTGGATCAGGAGGTAAGAACTTTATATGTATCTCTCCATCTTTTTAGAAAAAATTACCCTGGATCAGAAGATTAGATTTTTATTTTTATTTCCAATTTTTCTTAGTAAAATTTACCCTGGATCAGGAGGTAAGAATTATATATTTATCTCCCCTTCTTCTTTGTATTTGTGATTGATAGAGTGTTGCTTGCTCAACATCCAGTGGAGTAATTTAATATGATAATTGAATAACAGTTGCCTGCATATTTATTTTTAATAATAGAATTATGTGATTGTACTATTAACTATTCTAAGTTGTAATTTTCTTCAGGCAAATTGACTTAGACAGTTTAACAGTAGCTCTATTAGCCAAATTGACTAAAATGTGCAACTGAGTTTACATATATTCACTTTTAGTACTGTTATAATAATGAGATGTGGTATGATTGCCAATAAGACAACTATCAATCAGAGCTAAAATGATAGGGTAGTAAGCAATTATAGGCCACTGTATGGCCTTGCACAATGAGAAAAATCCACATTGTATAGTCTGCTGTAATTTATAAAAGGCCCCCATATGAAAAATGTGAAACAATTCAAACAAAAAAACTCACGGCCTAATTTATAACAAAACAATTTACCAAAATCAAATATGACAGATATGAACCAACGACAACCACTGAATTACATGCTCCTGATTTAGGAAAGGCACATACTGAATGAGTTTACATATATTCACTTTTACTGTTATAAAAATGAGGAGATGTGGTATAATTGCCAATAAGACAACTATCCACCAGAGTTAAAATGAAAAGTTAGTAAGCAATTATAGGCCACTGTGCGGCTTTGCACAATCAGAAAAACCCATACTGTATCATGTATGATCTGCTATAAAAGGCTCCTATATGAAAAATGCAAATCAATATAAACTATGAAACTAACGGCCTTATTTATAACAAAACAATTTCCAAAAAACATATATGACAGACCTGAATCAACGAAAACAACTGTACTACGTACAGGTGTAAATGCTCTTTTGTTCCAACTTTGGAAAGTTCCGTGCGGAAAGAACTAACTAGCCGAAAAGTTCCGGAGGAACTTATTAACTAGTTACTTTGTTCTTCCTCTGTTTAAAAGTTCCACCGGAACAAAGTGACTAGTTGAAAAGTTCCAACGGAACATATCAACTAGTTAGAAAGTTCCTTTTTGCCAAATTAGTCAAAACCGGAACTAACAAACTAGCCCAAATGTTCCAACGAAACTTATCAACCAGGCAGAAAGTTCCATTTGGAGAATTGATGCAAAGTAAAAGCGCAACATATTACCGTATAGCGGGTTATTTTCGCGAGTGTAAAATTTCACGAATTAGGGGCAACAAAGTATACGAAAAATTTTGGCGGTTTTTATTTTGGTGGATTCTCAAATCCCAATTAAATATTTTGGTGGTTACTGAAATTGTTGCAGTTAAAAAGTTGTAAACTTGACAAACAAGTGTTTATTGTTATGATTAATTGATTTTTTTTTACCGGAATGACCTCTTATTTATTGATTAGATTCTGATACAGTTAATCATTAGAATACCGCTAACTTAGATATGTGTTACAGGTATTCAAATGTCTTGTAAATTTTACAATTGATTAATTACGAACTTGACCGGACCTTTGATGTACTTACTAATTAGGTTACAAAATTATCATGAGTGTTTACAACTCTTATATAGTTTGACACTAATTAATAAGGGTAATTACCTGATAAGAGTACCTTACACTCTTATTCTAATTGACACTTATTAATAAGGGTATACACACCTGACAGTTATTTTATAAAATACATGTATGTACAATGCCCTTTGGCATTTATCTTGTAAAAACTAACATATACCGTTATTGACCTGCCGACAGGAAAAAAAAGATCATATTATATAATACAAAATCCTTTAAGGATATTAACTTCGAAACATCCCAACGTATGCATAAATTTTTCGCGGAATTTATTTTCAACATTTTCATTTATCCGCCAAAATTAGCGAAGATAAACACCCCGTGAAAATAACCTGCTATACGGTATATTTGAACCTTTCAAAGGGAAACCAAGATACTGATTATAAAGTCAAATGGAACTTATCAACTAGCCACAAAGTTCCTCTTTGGCAAATAAGTCAAAACCGGAACTAACAAACTAGCCCAAAAGTTCCAACAGAACTTATCAACCAGTTTTCCAAAGTTCCATTTGGAGAATTGATGCAAAGAACCACATGAGAAGGGGGGTATTCTTCCCTCTTTTGAGGGAGGGTACTATGAATACTAAATTTGCATGATAATGCAACTTATTCTGTTTTATGTGAGCTATGAAATACAACTTAAATTTTGCATATTTGTCCCCAAAGAAATCCCTTTCAGTGCGTTGGGTATTCTTGTAAATTAATGATTTTCTCTTATATATACTGATACTCATTCTTCCCCTTCTTTCTACAAAAAGGACGAAATATGGTATATTCGGAAAGATGTAACTAATTGTTCTGTTTCGCCAGAACTATTCAACTATCTACATTGTTCCGGGACTTTTCAACTAGCTACTTTTTTCCAGAACTTTTTGACTGCACTCGGAATAAAACAACTAGTTGGAAAGTTCCATCGGAACGAAATAACTAGTTGAAAAGTTCCGCCGGAACAAAGTAACTGGCGGAACATAGTGGCTGTTACACAGGCTCCCTGACTTAGGACAGGCACATAAATGATGAGTTTGTAAGTGTTCATCACACACCCTTACCTGAGACAATGGTGTAACAGCACAACATGAAAACAATCTGTAAAAATCAGTTGGAATCTGCTCAACTCAAAAGATCAGTACAAGGCACAAAAACCACTAACATAAAAACAATATACACAAAACATTGAAATTAGAGCACTTGCAGCTACTGAAAGCTAGTTCAAAGCCAGTTACAACTAATAAATAAATCATGTTCTCCCAGACAGTATGTTGTTTTGTTTTTTAAAGCTAATATTCACTTTTTTTAGATAGAGAAACCAACTCCAGATAAATATGAGATTGTTGTCCATATTAAGTCTTGTGCTCTAGTTTGTCCAAATTGTAAGGTAAGTATAAGTAAAATATCAATAGTACTTACCTTCTCAAATATATGTAATTTTGTAGTAATTGTTGGTAATTAAAAGAAGGGTAGTGCATGTCAACATTGGGGAAAAAATTTGCTTATTG